AATGTATGCTAATAAAAAGTTAAAAAATAAGAAAAATGATACTATGTTTAATTTTCTGCTTATAACTGAAATTGGAACTAAAATAGCCATTATTTTTTAAATATTGTCAGAGAATGTTGTTTATTTGTTTCTATAAAGGTAACATATGTATTTACCTATCAAGTTCCTTATTAACAATAAACTGGTAATCATTTTTGTTTTTTTAATTATTATTATTATTATTATAACGTTTTTATAAACTCACAATCTCGTTTGTCGTTCCGGGTGGAATCTTGCAACTCAAATTTCGAGCACTTCCCGATTAGCTATCCGGCTGAAACTTTCAGGGTAGCTCACAATTCGATGACAATGCATTATTTATCCACGAGAGGTTGAAAATTCTACCCCTAAGGGGGTTAAAATGAGGTCAATTTCTTGTCCGTCGTTCCGGGTGGAATTATGTAATTCAAAAAGACTTATTTCTTACCCGCCAGCAAAAATTATGCGCGGTGCGTTTGAGCGTGAACGGTGCTCGGATAAGAGCAGTACCAGGTTCAAACCATCATTATACTTTTTTGCATTTTCTTACAACTTTTATGATAATTTATACAGTAATAAATCTAAAATTATAAGCTTTTAAATTGATTACTAATTCTTATGATAATCCTTCTGACCATGCAGCAATAACATTGTACATTTAAATGTATAGATACGTACATACGAAAACGAAAAAGAACAAAATAACTAAAGTAGATTAAAAAATTAATCTAAAAATAACGTTTTTATGCGTCTTCAAAAGTAAAAAATAACCCTCCAGGGGTCTTGATAACCAAATAGGACAGATGAACTAGAAAAACGTGGGGCGCATTTTTACTACTTCACACGTCTGAGTATATAATAACATTCTCTTCTCATTAATAACTACCTTAACTCATAATTCATGCACAATCATCTTTTTTCTTCTAAACAAAATAATACTTAATGACATGTCATGTAAAATTGAGCACCACATTACTTTAAATGTTAAACAAGTAGGTAGTTAACAAAAAAATTGAAGCAACCTACATAAAACAAACTTTGGAGAGAATAGCAATAAAGTCTTTTCAATTTGCAATGAAATTTAAGGCAAGTGGCACGGAAATCCATTAAATTTCATTCCCAAAAAAAAGTCATACTATCACTTTCTGATCCGTTCGGTTAGAGAGACAGCATTATGGGAGACAACTTAATGCATTAGCATGAAAGCTTAGGTTTTAATATCTAAGTAGAAAAATGCGCCTTGCGTTTTTCTAGTTCACCTGTCCTATTTGGTTATCAAGACCCCCGGAGGGTTATTTTATACTTTTGAAGGCGCATAAAAACGTTATTTTTAGATTAATTTTTATATATTTACTTAATGATTCTTTTTTAAATTTTAGTTTGAACGTATCTATTTTAATATTATTATGTTTAATTTATAGCAATTTTATAGCGATACTCGACTATTAAAGATATTAATATAGTTCTTTTGATTCTGACATTAAGTATTTACTTAATGTCCTTGTAAAAGTTCAATTACGGTTGAAGGTTACAATAATAAGTTTATATATATATATATATATATATATATATATATATTACCTCGAAGGTATACTGTATACTATTTAACCAGTTAGTCATGATTTTAGAAAAGTAGTTTACTATTGTCTTACTTTAACTAAATATGTTTATTCATATAAGTATAAGATATATTTCTTACTAAATCTAATTTTTTTTTTTAAATTAATTTGTTAACAAACCAAACAATTTTTTTCGGAAACTCAAGAAATTAATTTTAATTACAAGCATTACTAATTACCAGAATGGTAGTTTCCCCCAAAAAATGTGTTTTTAATACAATAATAACAACTTTTTATTATTATGAATGGTTGTATATGTTGTTTCACAGTCACTATAGTCAATTAAAATATATAAATAATATGAATATACCGTCTTGATAATTTAAGTATTGAAATTTAAAACACTTAATTATTTGCTATAGTTTCTCACTCACATTTTGTTTGTAGAATAAGTAATAATGCATTTTTTTAATTTTATGGTAATTTCGTTTTATTGTGTTCAAGTTTTCATAATTATCATAATTTAAATTAGTCTATATTTTGGTTTGGTTCTGATTTCACGTTTTTACATTTTTCCATTGTTCAAAGATGAAACCAATAGGAAAATAGTACTATAATTTTATTTAATACTAAAGGTATTGCATACATATTTTAATGATGTTAAATTTTAATTTATTTTTAATCACACATCAAACATATTTGAGTAACATTTTACCTAGAGTTGTATTTTTTTTCATTTTACCTAAAATGGTTTACGTTGTTTTATAATCTAGTGAAAATAATAAATATACTTGCATATTATTATAATATGCATCTATTCATAGATTATTTCCAAGTAATGTACAGACTATCACTTTAATAAAAATGAAAGTACCTATGGAATTGTTATTATATCATAATATTCAACGGAATCGATTAAAATAACGGGTAAACATCGTTTAAAGGTCATTTAATAATCCTCCGTAGAATGCCCTTTATGACGTTTAAGGTCGAAGAAGAATAATAACAATAAGAAATTTGTTCAATCTTTATATTATTGAAATCATTCCTTGATAGTTTAAAATATTTCTCTACTACTCACTACTTGCATCTACCGGTTTCATTTATTGTTGAATTAGAAGAATATTACCAGTTTCACTTATAATTTAAGTATAAACATGTATTAATGTACAAATTATTATGTTTCATGGCTAAAACCTAAATTATTTACTCATAAAAAATTTAAATATCACATTTTAATGATAAACAATATTTATAATAAGTAAAAACATTTACTGTAACAAAATCAACATACATGTTTGTTCATCTTTTAAGTTTTAGGTATTAAAAACAAATCCAGAATACACATGTTAAGTAAAAAAAAACCTAGTGAAATTTTATTAAGTAATAAGCATAGGTTATCATTAATATTTGAATGTATTTATTTTTTCGTATAGAAGGCTTGATAAACGCGTATAATAAAGAATTAGGAATTTAAAAACAAGTTATAGGAGGGATGAAAGGGTTAGTCAAAATATGACTTTATTTTAATTTAATAGAAATAAATAATGGTTTTTTTTTTTAAAAAACTATTGCTCTTATACTCGTAAACTACTGCTAGGTATAGTTAGTACACTCATAAAAGTATTCAATTTAATTTGGTAAGACTTGATTGTTTTTTGTTTATTTTCAATTATACATAAGAAACTATTTGTTTACAGAAAATACAATTACTAAATATATCAGTGATATTTAATTGTATGATAATATTTTATGGCTTCCCGTTTCATTTAATTGCTAAATTGTTTGCATGATTTCAATTTAATATGAAAACAACAATTAATATGTTTTTTATTTGCGCACTTCCTTAAATATACCCATATAAGACTTCTAATGCAATAATATTCTCAAATTCAAATAATAAATCTAAAAACAAATATTTTATTATAGTTAAAGATATTAAAAACCAGCCGAGGTTTTTAAAGAAAAGTCATGGCTGCATGACGTAGGACGTATTGTACTTTTACCAATTTTTATCATGTTAATAAATAACGATATTTTGTATTAACTTATATTTATATTTTAACTTACAACAAACAGAATGATAATAATAATAGCTATATTGTTGACAACTGCTAAGGGTTCTGTATTTCACAAAAAACCCTAAAATGGAGTGAAAGGTCCTTTTTTATTTATACATTTAACTAAGTCTTTGTATATTGTGTCTTAAATTAAAAATTAGTTTACTGGTAAATATTTTTTTGTCAAAATTAGAATGACCCAATTGTTGTGTATTAAAATGTTTACCCAGTTTCCTTCAGAATGAATCTTTATTAGCTTCAAGGCGGAGTTAAGAAAGTATCATTTTTACTATAATGTGTTTTTATATTTTTTGTGTCTAAACGCACAGTATCTTCTAAATCTCTAAACCATTTTTACATGTAGCAATTTTTTAGATCAGAAATCGTACCCGGAATACCTCCCTCTTTTGTACCAAAAATGTAAAAAGTTCACCCCTTCTCCTTCAAAATTAATTGGTACAAAGTACAAACAAAATGCTCTTCGAATGTATCGATTTTTATTTATAATATAACGTAATTTATGTTTGACTGTGTCTGCAGCAGACTTTGTAAGAGTTACACTAACCCATCAAGTTATTTTCTACTGGATTGCGATAAAATATTGCACTTTAGGCCCCTAGGACCAATATAAGTGGTTAACTTGTATTAGCTCCCAAAGTGCCTATTCATAAAAAATAGACTTAGTGAATATAGTCGGGTCAGTGCATTAGATCTCCCCTATGTTTTATTTAATGGACCTGGAATGCCTATGAGTTCAACTCTGCGTGTGTTCCTATCTACTACTACAACTACTAGAACTACTATTATATAGAATTTCCAGATTCGCAAGCGTATGATTGTGATAAAATCACATTTAGATTTAAAAATTGCTATGAAACAACTTTGCTAATTTCTTCTGTGCTGGTTTGGTCTGTGCTTGGTACGAATTGAGTTTTTTTTTTATTTAGTATACTTGTTTTGTGATTATAAAACAGGTCATATACTGAATTCCAAGTTTTTAAATCCTTAATAGTCTTTAAAATTCACGTTTATAGCATTTAAGTCACTTTTATGGTTTTTTATTATAAAAAACATTATAATTTGTTTTTTTTTTACACATGTTATAGGTATATGTTCAGACTAATTTTCAGTTCTTAAATCTTAAAATTGCGCCTAAAAATAAAAAATACAAAAAACTTCCAACATTAATAGGGGATTAATGAGATTGTTGAGATTTGGGTGAATAGTGGTATGCCTTATTAATGATCTATAAAAAAATCGACTAAATCCGACTGTTTTTCGCGAAGATTCTTGCTATTGCAACAAAGCTAAAAAAATGTATGACTACATATAACTTACGTATGCGTTTTTGTTTTTGTTCTAGAATAGATTATAAAATAATCGTATTGTTACGATGATTATCCCAAATGTCAGTGGTTCCATCAGGAACCATGTCAAGACCCAGTTTATATCGCTCTCCTTATCCCGAGCAAGATATTCTTCTCAAGTAGAGTATAAGCCAATCAGGAGTGTAATGGTTGCTAACAGAGGTAATTTATTAACATTTCATACATTTAAAAAAACACTTTTTTAATAATATTTGTTTATACAACATATTTTAATAGGTGAAATTGCAATACGTGTGTTCCGAGCATGTAATGAGTTAGGTATCAAGTCTGTGGCCATTTATTCAGAACAAGACAAAATGCATATGCACAGGCTGAAGGCTGATGAATCATACTTAGTTGGAAAAGGCAAAGCTCCAGTTGATGCATATCTTGATATACCAGAAATAATAAGAGTAGCAAAGGTAAAATAATATTTCAGTAAAATCATTAGTTGCAGTCATAATTTAGGCAACAATTTTCAACCATTTTTTGTTTATTAGCTAAAAAGTTAAATATTTATTTTGTTTGTACGCATTTTTACGAAGAATCTGCATTATTAAATTTCTGCCTATAATCAAACTTGTATGTCTCTGGTTACTATAAATAAAATCGTCTACAATATTGTTAACTGTATTAAATCCATAGTGTTTGTTGATTAGGAAAATGACGTGGATGCTATTCATCCTGGTTATGGGTTTTTGTCAGAACGATCAGACTTTGCCCAAGCTGTTATTGACGCAGGAATCAGATTTATAGGACCATCGCCCTATGTAGTACAACAAATGGGTGACAAAGTGGCAGCTAGACAAGCGGCTATTGACGCTGGTGTGCCTATTGTAGCTGGAACTCCTGGCCCCATCAGAACATCAGATGAAGCTATCGAGTTTTGCTTGAAACACGATCTGCCGGTTATTTTTAAAGCAGCTTACGGTGGTGGTGGACGAGGAATGAGAGTCGTTAGAAAAATGGAAGTAAGTTTGAAGTTTTGTTTGTGTTTTACAGTTCTTAAAATTTGAGATATGTGGTTTAGGATGTCAAAGAAAACTTCGAACGTGCTAGTTCGGAAGCCAAAGCAGCTTTCGGAGACGGTGCTATGTTTATCGAGAAGTTTGTTGAAAGACCACGACATATTGAAGTTCAACTTTTGGGTGACAAGGCCGGGAACATAGTTCATTTATATGAAAGAGATTGTTCGGTACAACGTCGCCATCAAAAAGTTGTCGAGCTTGCTCCAGCTCCACACTTAGATCCAAAGGTAAAGTCAATAACATACACAATTTTTAGGTTTTTTTGTACGGGTAAAATGAGAATTAATGGATTGATAATATTTTTTATGTTCAATTTAGAATTTTTGTAGTCTTTTTTTTTTTAAATATTTATAATCGATTCATTCGAATTCAAAGATAAAGTAACTCTTGCAAAAAATAATCTATTATTAATAAAGTATAATAATATAAACTATTGCATTTTCTAACATAGCTTTGACGTGGAGCACAGTTGCGTCAACTGTTAACTACGGTGGTATAAGTAGAAAAGGAAAGGTTGAGGGTTGTCCCCGAAATATTCCAATTGGATGTCCTTTTGGCTTTTTGATTGTTTGAAATCTGGCGCTAGCGTTGTGGTATTCTACGTATTGGGCCTATTTCCTTGTAAACAAATACATTTTAGCTGAGCTTTAAATACTTTAGTATCATCATTTTGATTTGATATACTTATTAATAATCGATATATTTTTAAATTGATTATTCTAACTAACTTGAATAATTTCACAGGTTCGAGATGCGATGACTGAGCGTGCTGTTAAGTTAGCTAAGCACGTGGGGTACTCAAACGCAGGTACTGTCGAATTTTTAGTTGATTCTAAGGGTAACTTCTATTTTATTGAGGTAAATGCGAGATTACAAGTAGAGCACACTGTTACTGAAGAAATAACTGGGTAAATTTATTTATAACTGTTGACTGCCTTATATGATCGATAAAAAAAAAAAAAAAGAGTTAAATTTTTTCCCTTAGTATCGATTTAGTTCAATCTCAGATTCGAATTGCTGAAGGTGTTACACTTCCCGAGTTAGGTTTAACTCAAGACAAAATTAAACCACAAGGCTTTGCTATTCAGTGCCGTGTTACCACCGAAGATCCTGCTAAAAACTTTCAACCCGACACCGGTCGTATCGAAGTGAGTACAAGAAAATTATATAGTTTTTATAAATAATGAAATTATTTATTTGAACACTTAAAATTTATAAATAATGAAATGTTAGGTTTTTAGAAGTGGTGAGGGTATGGGTATCAGATTGGATGGCGCCTCAGCATTCGCTGGAGCTATAATTAGTCCTTACTACGACTCGTTATTAGTTAAAGTCATTGCACATGCTGCCGATTTGCAAGCATCGTGTGCTAAGATGAACCGAGCTCTGCGTGAGTTCCGAGTTCGCGGAGTGAAAGTGAGTATTAGATACTTAAGTTATTACTTATTACGAAATTATAATTTCATTAACACATTTAATATTTTAGACCAATATTCCATTCCTCCTGAACGTGTTAACCAATGAAAAATTTGTAAATGGATCTGTCGATACTTATTTTATCGATGAAAATCCACAACTGTTCACCTTAGAACCATCTCAAAATAGAGCTCAAAAATTACTGAACTATTTGGGCCATGTTTTAGTCAATGGCCCTCAGACTCCATTAGCAACTAACTTGAAGCCTGCAAATGTTTCACCTCAAGTCCCTGAATTTCCAGCAGGTAACTTTGTTTTTATCATGCAATTACTTAAAATGTATAAATGTTTTAAATAGCAACCTCTAGATTTATATGTATAAAATATGACCAACAGTGCCGGACTTGACCACTGTGGTATTATGCTAGCACATTGAGTCGTAGTTGGTTGGGAACTTTCCATTCCTAAATCCGCCAACAGTTAATACATAGGCTCTCTACCTATATTGCTCTGCAGAGTTAGACGAAGCACGGATTTTTAAGTATCATACCTAAAAGTTTTAGAACAAATTTTTAAGATAAAAAAAAAAGTTTAGATTTTCAATATTTCATAAAACAAATTTAGATAACTTGTGGAGGTAATTGAAATTAAAGAATCCGTATTTCGACCATTTTGTAGCATTTCTAAGATACACATTATTGGTCTGGACGTATACTGACCTAAACGAGTGGGCTAAAACCCTCTCGGTCCGGGTCTAGCGGTCAATAATATGAATTACAGCATGCAAAAACTATGTATAATATAATAAGAGCAAACATTTTTTTTAAGCAAATATGTGCAAATATTTGTGTTCAATAAATATTAAAATGTATCATTATTAAAAATATTGCATTATTATAAGGCCTATGGCGGAAATACTGATCATTTCAAATAGCTAATAATGTAAAAAATTGTGATTAGTAAAATTAACCAAATGTTGAAGTTTTTATTTTATTTTTGTTAGGAAACCGTTAAATCAGTTTAAAAAAAAAAAACGTTCCGTCTGTATCTAGAAACATAAAACGGCTGTAGTCTCGGCATTTATGTAAATAGCGGCTAGCGTGTGTATATTATACTTATGTTTTATCAAAATGTTAATACGTTAGTAATTAAAGTTCTTATAGTTAAAGCTTTCGATTCAGAATAAAACCATTAACGTTGTATTAAAGCAATTTTTATTCCATTGATTTTCTGCTATAGTGAGTATAGTTTCAAACAAATGCTAGCTGTTTTTTTAAAGTTTATCAGAAAGAAATGTGAGTATTTAAACTTTAAAAAAGTACGATTTCAACTATAATTGATAGTAGTAAAAATATGTATTATAACTTACCAGGTATTCTACCGTACATTTATTTAATTTGATTTATTTTCTTCATCATACGTCTATTTTATCAGGTTATATTGTACAGGCAAATTCCTGTAATAAATTAATTTCATGTATTATTTAGCTCATTGTTACATATTCTTTATACAAACCATCAGGCATCATTTGAAGGGCTGAGGGGAAAAAACATCAATGTCAGTTTTATTAAATTGTTGGTAATTCCGTTTTTAAAGTTTAACAACCTTCAAAATGACATTGCAGCAAGGGTTTGAACGAGAGAAAAACATATGTTGTCGGTAAACTACATATATTTGAGTGAAAGGAAAAAAAATACATTTTACTTCTACAAAAAATGAAAAATAAAATCTCTGAAAAGTCATTCTTTCCCGTCACAGTTCCTCCAAAGTGTCAACCGGAGGGTCATTCAAGTACTCCACCTCTTCTTCAGTGCTGTTTGTGTCATCACAAGCAAGTGTATCGTAGAATGCTTGAGCTTCAGGCTTTGTCAAAAATTGCTTCAAGTGTAATAGGTCATCAAGCTTTGCTTTTTTTAGTGAAAGGGGCCTTGGTAAGAAAGGCGGAGAGTCGTATCTTTATTTTTTTCTTATTTTTTACCTGCTTTGAAGTAGGTGTGATAACAGACGACTTGTAGGGACCATAGTAAACCAACTTGGTGTGCATCATTCGCGGTTCGCTTCCATCTCGAGCCCGGGAGTGTTGAGGTAGACCGTTTTTTTTCGCCGCCGCGTGGACCTTGATGAGTCTTTCCCGTCACACGTTTTCTTCTCCCTTTATTTTTGAGCAGGCAATGATCTTTCTATCCAAAACCGATTCGTAGTTCGATTCCTTTGGAAACAAGCAAAAAGATGGAACTAATATCTCATTTTCAAAAAAAATTGACATTGATGTTTTTTCCTCGCAGCCTTTAATTTCATTTTTTATAGATAAAGAATAGTTAGTAAAACTGCATTTTTAATGGTAGGTAGTTTTTCTAACATTTTTAATAATTACATTAAATACATTTCAATATTTTGGTATAATTCATAGTTTTTCTAACCCAATACTTATTATAAAATATAGCTCTGAGAAATGTGAGAGAATGTTTTTGAGTCTAAAGAAGATTCCATTTGCAATGCTTTACAAATTTTAACTTACTGGTTTTAAATCGTTTATGATTTATTTACCCGATGGAAAATTCTATTGTGACGTACACACCAGACTACTTATCCTATGTCCAAATCTTATTCTTAGCAAATAAGCAGTACATTTTTTTTCATAAGGCTCTGTCTAAAATTGTTTACAAAACTCCACAACTTTTTAAAATTTTGTCGTAGAAGAACCATTTTTTACCCAAAATTGTTAAGCTGGATGATTAATTTACACTTTCAATCACTAATTTTTACATTGGTCTTTTTAAAGACCCAAGGTACAGTTGTTTAATTCACATCCGATGAAGTTTTTAATAGTACAATTTATAAAGTTATGTTTTCCCTATACTTACCGCAAGACACCCGATTTAAAAAGTAAAAAGCAAAGTTTTTGTAAAACACAAACTTTGCTTAATTGTAAATAAATTAAAACTTACAAATGATTTATGAAACAAAACTATTATAAATAAACGGATAAGTAATAAGTGTTCTATTACGTATGGTAAAATCATTGTATTCGTCCGCCAATAATTTTGTTCAAAATATGACAAACAACTAAAAATTGTTTTAAATAATACTCATTAAAATATTTCTGTATGTCGTTTGTTATAATTGTTTCTGCATTATGATATTTAACCTATAAATTCGCTAAAAATTATAATAAAAAATATTCTTAAGCATTTTGAGAATTTTCATTGACATAATTTACCAACATTTCAAAATTTTTAAATGTGTGTGTCTATACTTTAATCTGTAACACGTTTTTACTTATTTTTGCACCCAATGTATTCATTTTTACAAATCATTATGCTTGTCTAGATTACCTTGCACGTATATTAGGCAAAAACGAACCAGATAGTCAAAACAACTCAGGTAAATCATGTATATAATTAAAATAAATAACCAATTTTCACTAACAACAATAATTTTGCAATGTCTTGGGTATATTAACAAATTAAAGGATTATTAAAATTGTTTTTTTAAGTATATTTTCCACAATCCAAATTTGCTAGGTTTCTTATTTAATTTTACTTAGTCAAACGTTTTAAAAAGTAATTTTTTTTTGAAAAATGTACTCTGTTTTATAATTTTGCATATTTTCATTGCTGTTATATTATTAATATTATATTTTAATAATTAAAAATTATATAGTTATGTGCTTTTATATTTATTTTAACTCTTAATATATGACACAACTATTTTATACTTCCATTCAGTGTTAATGGATTACATTAATAACAAATAATTACCTTAATAAACACTAACAACTATGAATCCACACAATATTTTGTTTAACTTTTATAGATTTGATTTTTTAAGGCATATACGAGTGATTGTAGTTATTGTTATAACCTAACCTATTTTGTATGCATGTGTATATAATGCTCTATACTTTGAACTTTGTTAACAATTGTATTGCATAATTTGTATTAAAACAAATACGTATTATAAATAGGTAGACTAGTTTAATAATATGTACAAAACAATTATTTTAAAGAAACATTTTTATTTGACGCCTTTTATTATGTTTAACCTTTAGTTTACTGTTTAGAGAATGTTTTATTTTCGTACATCTCTAACTAATGATGAAAACTAAAACGGTACGAATGATATTAATACAATTTCATTATTGTATTATATAAAAAAATATTTTAATGTGTTCTATTAAAGTACTATAAAGACTTGATATTAACGAGTTTGTTTATAAGTAAAACCAAACTAAGAACTCTTAAAAACAATTTTATTTTTATAAAAAGTAACGGACCCTTTTTTATCACCATTTTATATTTTTAAAAGTTTTTTAGATAAATTATTAATTACTAATTGCTTAATTGCTAAATGTTATTCGAAATAATAGATATGATTTTATATCTATAACGTATAACCGATGATTTATAATATTATAAATTTGTCCTGTACGAATTACTTAGTTGTATCATTTGTGATTAGACTTTTGACCTAAATATTCATTTAATGTACCTAATATCCACCTAATAAGTTATAACAACAGGTTTTATTATTTCCTAATGTAATTTTGTGTTTGTTATTTAATAAATAGAGCTATTAAATAATTTTAAATTTATTGAAAAACAAAAAACAAATATATAATTCTACTTTTAATTTATAAGGAAATAATAAAATATATTTTAGGTCTAAACACGTTTAATTTTCTATTTTTAAGAACCAGTACCTACTAGTAAAAGTTTTTCATAGTAAAAGCTATTTTTGTGCTTAAGTATCTCAGCATGTCATCGATATTATATAATATGACCTGAGATAACAATTTTTTTTATGACGCTCACTTTACTTAATAATATTATTATATATTATCTTCTAAAAAAAAATATTAAAAGGACTAATAGATTAAGGAATCGTGTTTTTTTAAAATTAGATTTAACTCCACCTCAAGGATTTAAACAAATCCTTAACAAAGATGGACCAAAAGGTTTTGCTAAGGCTGTTCGCGACCATAAGGGACTTTTACTGATGGACACAACAATGAGGGATGCCCATCAGTCTCTACTGGCAACTAGAGTCAGGTGAGTTACTTTAACTCTCTCTCTATATATATAACATAAAATAATGTTAAGATCGGTTGATGAAATTTCGGGAGGCTTGAGGGATTTCTTTTTTAATTGACTGTACATAGGACTTTACAACCTACAAAAATAGTTAGCTATTTGCGCCCAGCCCCTATACTCCGTTAGCTCGTTTAATAAAATACAATTGTTTAATATTTAATATACTTTAAAATAAAATAAAAACAAAATACTTTATACATTTGTTCCGGTAGCATAAAACCGTTTGATTTTTGCAGTATTCGGTTAAGGTTTTCGATCTGGTTTTTTGCATTTCTAATGTTTTTATACATCATGCAATAATTTAAACCATTTGCAACTCACTATAAAATTATGAAAACACTCAAGTATATATTTTTCTATAAAGGCAACAAAGCCCAAAAGGTTTAAGGATTAAGAACCTGTGAAAATTAAATTTTATTGGTGCTAAATACAGCTAAATAAACGGTATGTCTCTAAAGACACTACCTAATCAAAATTAATGATATCGATTACGTCGGTATTTTTCAACGTACTTAATAAATTATCAAAACTTAAATGGGGTATTATATTTACTCTGTTTACACGCCTTGCGGTTACTCCCATTTGGATATCTTGACTGGTTCGCCAACGTTTTGAAACACTTGCATATTCCATCTTCAGAGCTCTGGTTCGATGTTGTTCGTACCGCGTTCTCCCGCAAACAACATCGAACCAGAGCCCTGAAGATGGAACATGCAAGTGTTTCGAAACGTTGGCGAACCAGTCAAGATATCCAAATGGTAGTAACCGCAAGGCGTGTAAATAGTGTAAACGTACTTAATTTGTTTAGCTTTACTCTGTAACAATGGGATTAAGCGATCGACATAATATTTCATAGTAAAAAATATTTAAAAACTTAAATTAATTATACAAAAATTATTAATTTTTTTTTTAATTAAACGCTTGTTTACATACAATGTTTAGGTATTATTTAATAGTTTTAATATTATAGGTCACATGATATTCTTCGAATTTCTCCATGGGTATCGCAAACCTTCCCTAATTTCTACTCATTAGAAAATTGGGGAGGTGCCACATTTGATGTCGCATTAAGATTCTTACACGAATGCCCGTGGCAAAGGTTAGCCGATATGAGGTCTGACATTCCTAATATTCCATTCCAGATGTTGTTACGTGGCGCAAACGCAGTTGGTTACACTAACTACCCTGATAATGTAGTATTCAAGTAACTAAACATTATATTGTAACAATCTGAGAGAGCGTATTTTTTAAATTAAATTATTGTTTATCCTTCAGATTCTGTGATCTAGCTGTTCAAGCTGGTATGGACGTATTTCGGGTATTCGACTCGCTAAACTATCTGCCTAATATTATCCTTGGTATGGAAGCAGCTGCTAAGGCTGGGGGTGTGGTTGAAGCTGCTGTTGCATACTCTGGAGATGTTTCCGATCCCTCTAAAACTAAATACACTTTGGAGTATTATTTAAATTTCGTCGACGAGCTTGTTAAAGCTGGTACACATGTATTATCAATTAAGGTACATAGAAAACAACAAGACAATAGATATTTTTGATATTATATTAAAGTATCGAAATTAAATTGAACAGGACATGGCTGGTCTGTTAAAACCACGCGCTGCTACTTTGTTAATCAGTGCTATTCGCGCCAAATACCCAGATTTACCAATCCACGTTCACACCCACGACACTAGTGGTGCCGGAGTTGCATCTATGTTGGCTGCGGCTTATGCTGGCGCAGACGTTGTGGATGTGGCTGTCGACTCAATGTCCGGCATGACCTCACAACCGAGTATGGGAGCTATTATAGCTTCTCTGCAAGGCACTGAATTGGACACAGGTAATTACTCAAAATATAATTAGTTATTCATTATTTTTAACTTGTCAACGCCTAATGGAATTATTCATAATTTGGCATTAAATCTTTAAAGATAAATACATTTTATGTATAACTTTCCATGGCCAACCTTAAAAATACTACTATTTTAATTGTTATAAAAATTAACTCATGCCAAGTTAAGGGTTAAAACTATATGTATATGAACTATATATTATTATGTCGAACTTGACACGTTTAAAAACTATAAAAATCGCTTACAATTTGATTTTTACTGAACTTTTTACTCTTTACACTTTTTCTTCGGCTACGGTTCTCTGGACATTTTTTGGTAAAATAGACTTTAAAGTTCCGCCACTGAGATTACTTATAATCCCTAATAGCACCAAGACTCCAAGAGATTGGTAGTCTAAATTGAGGATGTAGAGACTCTCCAAGTATACAGGTTAGGGTGATTAAAAAAAAAACAAAATTTTTTTTTCTTGGAACCAGGCTTAAAAGTTTCTTTTTGGTGTAAAAAGACACCAGTTAAAATTTGAGCCCTTAATATTAATATTAAGATTGTCCGCATTGCACTTTTCTATTTCCCATAAGAATAACATGGGAAAAGTTGTTTTTACACATTCTGATTTTTATTGATGACCCATTGAGGGTTATATAAATAATATCTTCACTTATTTTTGTAGAAAATTGAACGCTCTACAAAAAAGGTCTCTTATGATTTTTCATGAAACTTAATAGTTCAAAAGTTATTCGAGGTCAAAGTTCAATTCATTCTCAATTGAGCAGTTTTCTTCATAATTCTCGAAAGTTTATGAATTTAAAAGTCTCAAAACAATCTGAAAGTTTATTTCTAAGCTCTCAGAGTTTAAAAAAAACATAACAATCATCTTTTGCCCTCAGGTATGGCTAAATTTTTATTTGAATTTAGAGTTAACTGTCATTAATAAATTATTTTAAGTTGTCCGTTTATCTTTAATACAACGAAAAATATTGGTTAACAGTCCTCGGAAGTTTTATTTACATTTTTTACAATATTTTGGGTACATTTTTTAAAAGGTACATAATATTTCTACCAAGTTATTCAGAAAAACGAATGAATTAAAAATGAATTGAACTTTGACCTCGAAAAACTTTTGAACTATTGAGTTTCATGAAAAATCATAAGAGACCTTTTTTGTAGAGCGTTCAATTTTCTACAAAAATAAGTGAAGATATTATTTATATAACCCTCAATAGGCCAGCAATAAAAATCAGAATGTGTAAAAACAACTTTTCCCATGTTATTCTTATGGGAAATAGAAAAGTGCAATGCGGACAATCTTAATATTAATATTAAGGGCTATATTTTAACTGGTGTCTTTTTACACCAAAAAGAAACTTTTAAGCCTGGTTCCAAGAAAAAAAAAAAATTTTTTTTTTTTTTAATCACCCTAATACAGGTACAGTCGTACAGATGTCCATTGATTTCCAGTAGGAGTCCCTACCTAGGCCCGAATAAAGCCTCTCCCGGTCAAGACGCCATACGATATAATAAACAGAAACTGTCTCGGGAACTCCATTTGCTGGGATAGAAATCGTCTGGTGAAACGAAGCGTCATCCTCCTCTCCGGGGACGGACTGACGACCCATCTCAGAAAGCAAATTTTTCTAGAAACCATCATCTCATGATGGCAGTGTTAAAGGACTGTTAATCTTATGATGATAATGATGTTGCTTGTGTCATGTGCATACTATGGTAGTTTTATATTAATCAGTGAATGTAAACATTTTTAATCTAGGACTGGACTTGAAGGATGTTTCTTCATATAGCGCATATTGGGAGCAAACAAGAACTCTGTATGCACCTTTTGAATGCACAACTACGATGAAGTCTGGAAATGCTGATGTATACTTGAACGAAATACCTGGAGGACAATATACTAATCTTCAATTCCAAGCTTACTCTCTTGGACTTGGTGACTTCTTTGAAGACGTGAAGAAAGCATACAGGGAAGCTAATTTATTATTAGGAGATATTATTAAAGTGAGTTGGAATATGCACCTATATTTATATAATAATAGTTACCCTAACCAAATATTGTATCAAATATATCAGGTAACTCCATCTTCAAAAGTTGTTGGTGATTTTGCTCAATTTATGGTACAAAATAAACTAACTGCTGAAGATGTATTAGCTAAAGCCGAAGAATTAAGTTTCCCTAAATCAGTCATCGAATTCCTACAAGGTGGCATTGGGGAACCATATCAAGGTTTTCCTGAACCACTGAGATCAAAGGTTTGTTATAAAGTGTTATAAGTTGATCAGTTACAATTTCTACAATTTATCTATTATTCATCTATACGAAAACAGTAGCACAGTTAAATGAAATATGTATTTTTTGAGTGGAATTTATTCAATGTTCACTTTACACGCCTTTACTCTTTCAAAGAAAATGTAAAATCATTAAGTAACAAATTTTTAACTGGAACTACTCATTTAACTGGTGTGCTATTTAAACAATTTAGGTAATGATTTAGTTTTATTATTATATATATTTTATTTGTTTTTAAGGTGTTGAAAGATATGCCTAGAATCGTCGGCCGTCCTGGCTGCACTTTACCACCCTTAGATTTTGATAAAGTTAAAAACGACCTAAAAGAAAAGTTCCCAGATGTTAGCGACCACGATGTTATGAGCTCTGCTCTGTACCCTGCTGTCACTGATGAATATCTGACATTTAAGGAAGAATTCGGGCCTGTTGATAAACTGGATACTAGAATATTCTTAACGGGACCTAAAGTCGGTGAAAACTTTGAAGTGAGTGTTTTTGAAAAATAGCAGCAATATTTATGTTTTTAATACAAATTATGTTTAAAAAATTTAATCAATGTTACTTTTTTTTTAAAAGGTAACTATTGAAAAAGGAAAAACATTAGCATTCAAAACGCTTGCTATTTCAGAAGAACTAACAGATAATGGAGAAATTGAAGTATTCTTTGAAATGAATGGTCAACTACGATCTGTGTTTATTAGAGATAAAGAAGCATCTAAGGTAATGCACCTATTATTATACATATTGTCTAATTATTATATAGCTTTGCTTAGGTAACTGTATAAAATATACTGTTATAAAAATTATTAAGGTTATTGTAAAAATAACCTTATCCTTGTTTTTCTGTTATAAAAGTGTAGTTTGTCACAAAGCAATTTTATTATCATTTTAATACTATTTTAGGAAATGCATATTCATCCTAAGGCATCCAAGTCTAACAAAGGAGAAGTTGGTGCCCCTATGCCTGGCTCAGTTATGGATGTCCGAGTTAAAGTTGGAGACAAAGTTGAGAAAGGTGCTCCATTAGTAGTTTTATCAGCTATGAAAATGGAAATGGTTGTGCAATCACCTATTGCTGGCACAGTTAAGCAAGTTGATATAAACGTTGGAATGAAACTGGAAGGAGATGACTTGTTGTTGATTATTGAACCATAAGATGTTTGAACCCCTCCCCTCTATAAATACCCAAAAATAATTTTAAGGTTCATCCACTAGTCAAAGTTTGTGTTTAAATCAAAACAAATTTCGCGGGGACATAGCCAATTATTGAACAAACCAACTATATTATACTATATATATGTGTGTAATATGTGTATGTTTATTGTTATTTCATTATAATTTGCTACAACATTATGTTTACTGTTTAATGATAAAACAATTATTTTAATTATAAATTTATCTTTATTTTAAGATTTGTTAAATTATATTTTTTCATAAATTAATAATTGTTTGTATATTATAAACTATAGATTTTACTAAATAGGATTTAAAGGTGTTAGGACAGATTATATGAGATAATAATAAAACATTATATTTTGTAGTAATAATCTGCATGTAGAGGCTAGTATAAGGACTGAAAATGTCTGATATTTATTATCCGATAAACTTGTAAATTTTTTTTTAAAGTAATTAACAGTGAAATTGTTGAAAAAATTAACATCTTCTTGTTCTATTAAAATGTAAGCTGTTTGTAATTATAAAACCAAATAACACAAATATTTAAAGTTATCTTTTATGTATTAGTTTAAATATTTTGTTATTTTGTTATGAAGTCTTTAAGATAATAAAATTTAGTAACTTAGTATAGTTAATATTTGAGGCGTTGCGTGGAAAAGTCAGCAATCTCCACTTTCTTTGAAATAAATGTTTTTAACATTTTCTTATTATATTTTTCACTCTGCATCGACTGGTAATCGACTGCATCGACTATTAAATAAAATTGTGTTAAGAGTGTATTTAACAATAGTTGGTGAAACCGAGCAAAATCAGCCAACGTACCACCCTTGTGTTAGCTAGGCGAAATCAGGACGATTTGGACTTTGAAAATCCAGATTGAAATTGAATGACATATCACATAAATCAAATAATGATCCAAGCAATTATTTTCAATTACCGACACTGATTTTTATCACATATTTCCCAAAGAGATAAAACGTTTCAATAATAGGTAATTGCGGCAAAAAGAGTGCAGAAGAAAATCAGATTTTTAAATTTACTAAAAATCACTGCCCCTGGAGATTGTCGACTTTGCCATGCAACACCTCATTTATTCATTTTATTTTATATGAGAGCAAAATATGGAATTGGAATTATGATTTTTGAAAAAATATGTTTAGTATATAGTATATATATATTATTAAATTGAACTGTTTTAAGACATGATAGTTCATACTTTCCATTCCTTTTTTAAATTAAAATTTGGGTTTTTATCGCTTAACAATAAGTTTGCCCAAATAATAAAAAACATAACCTAATGTGTTAATACTGTGTTCACCAGAGGCTTATAGTCAGAGCTGAGAATGCAGTCGAGGCCCCCATGGCCCATATGTTTAACCCAATATGTGAGACCTGCTTAGAAAAAATAATTACAAATTTGTGGAAAATATATAAAACGTAAAAATAAAATGTTCAATGGCCCATTGGAGACAGGCCGACCATGGTGTCCATTTTATAAAATGTTATGCAGTAAATGTTAATTTATACTTCAGATATTTATAAAGACAAACTAACACATAACAACATAAACATAAAATTATGTTTTTAGTTAATTAGTTACTTATGATGGTCAATATAATACCATTTTTTTCAAGTCAAAGTATTCAACTATTTTTGTGGATTAAACTGTTTATACTCTCTAGTCTATAGTCTATGCGTTTTTTTTCTCATTAAAACACAAATATATTGTTTGAGTGTAAGAAAAATTATATTTAAATATAATTTTTCCAAAATAATTTGTTAACCAATGGTTGGTCGTTGGCCATTGATGATCTCTGTGGAATGTCTTATTATTAATACAGTAAAGACCTCTATGTTGTATACAATTTCCATTGACAGCCATCATTATTATCATTTATTATCGGCTTCTTGCCAAAACTCATTAACAGCGAATTGGCCATTTTTTGGTGCGCCATCTAGTGTAAAACATCATTTTCTTACGATTGCCAAGAGGTGTTTATAGTGAATTTCCCACTCTAAATGTCTTTTTTTTTTTAATAATTTCATACTCTATCGATAAAGCAAAAACTCATTAATGGTTTAGTGAGTTTTTTGCTAAATTAAAATAACATATTTTTTATTGGTACAGGCCCGTATCTATGGTATCTAAAATCCATTAACGGTCTTATAGTAATAGTCTATTAAGTTTTAGTACAAAATAAATAGCCAGATTTCATAATCGGCGCAGATTCCGCCAATAATGACTAATTACAGTTAATACCAATAGAAATCATTGTTTTTTCTATTTAGAAGGACTCATTAACGGTCAACATAAAAAATGTAACAATATAAAAAAACTGTGTTATGTAACATATTATTGAAAACCCCCAATATATTTAAATACAGTAATATATCAGGTTTTACACAAAACAAAAAATTGTAAAAACCTTAAAAGTTCTGAAAATTCTGTAGAGTTAAGACCAAAAATTCAATATTTAAAAAACATTACAGTCATTTTCTGAACAATCTACTTTTTGCCGTTAATGAATTTTAGCAAGAAGCCGACGATAGATATAGTGAACAAAACAAAAATTGTCTTATAAAAAATTTGCCTTTTTTTAGGCCAATTATACATTCGTTTTCATTCTGTTTGAACTAGAATTGGTGTGCTTTTATACATTTTATGGTAATCACGCTATTTGTTCGGCATGTTATGAAATAACTGTCAATATATATTTGTACACTTTAATCTTAAAAGGATACCTTTGAACAAATATTGTTTTTGCATATGCCTACTACTGTTCAGTGTCTTTTATTAAAGGCCTTGCAAATTGATTGGTCTTAACATTTAAGGAAAACTACCGGATTTACCAGTCATAGTTCAAAAACAAAATCTTGTTAACTATTTTGAGAAAAATTATATATAATACATATTTAAAATAAAAATACAATCCTCAAAAAAATAACAATACAAACTACTAAACTCATTTGATAATAATTAAGCATACTTTCATTGATGACAAGCTTCAAATAATTTATAACAAATTGACATTACCATTTATTTTAAATTAGATTTTTGTTTTGTCTTCACCATCTTTTTCTATTTTGTCGTTTGCTAATATCTTGTCAAGTTCTCCTGATCTATGTAATTGTAACATAATATCACATCCACCAATAAATTCTCCATTAACAAATACTTGTGGAATCGTTGGCCAATTAGAATATTCTTTAATACCTAAATTTAAAAATATTTTAGACAAATTAGCATAAAATTATTTTTATTAAGTTACCATTTCTTAAATTTTCATCTATAAGTACGTCATGAGCATCAAAAGTAGTTTTATGAATATTTAAAATATCCACAACCGCATTACTGAAGCCACATCTAGGGGCTTGTGGGTCACCTTTCATAAATACTACGATTTTATTCTGTTTTACTAATTTGTCTATATGAGAAATTATGGGATTACTAGAGTTTGTAGTTTGTAATCTTTTATACAAATTAAATGGATTTATTTTTGTCACTTTATTAAAGTTCACTAATTTTTGTACGAATAACGCCATTATGTTTGATCAACTTTTAATTTTAAAAGCAAGTAGCAATGTAATTTATTAAAACTCTTGCAACTGAAGGTTCTCCGCTCAAATTATAAAGAATAAAAACAATTTTAAGATTTTAAATTAATTAGATTTAAATAAATTAAAAAAATAACCATCAAACTTCAAAGGAAAGTCAAGATATTTCATATCATTCACAATATTTAATAACTGATATTACATTTTTATTACTAAAGCTGTTATCAGAAGCCTTCGAAAATAAAAATTTAGCTTTTAAAACATAACCTTAAACATAATCTTAACCTTGGAACAAAATAAGAATCGTGAAAAATTAATATATTAAAATGTATTATAAATAAAAATTCGTAAACTTTGAAACTTTTTAATTGTCTCAATAATGCTTACATTGTAATTTTCAAATGCACTATTATTTGTCGTTGAAATTAACAATAACAAAATTTGCGTTTTAACTTTTAAGTGGGAAGAGTGATCGCCATTTTTCCCCTCCGTCCGACCATCACTGATTAATTTACATGTTAGCGGGCCGAGTAGAAGCGGTGGAGCTAGTAGCGACCCCCTCGGTTGATACTTGATAGACGGAAGCATAAAACATTACAATAACCATTCGGGCCGTGAATTAGTGCCGTCACCTATTTGTTAACTCGTAAATTTCGCAAGGTTTCTCCGTCCACGATGGCTGACGGTGAGCCGTTAAGTATTGACAGCATAATTGCTCGACTGTTGGAAGGTAAGATGGTTGGACCGATCGTATGAAAACACCATAATAGGAGTTCGTATAACAATCAATCCTGGTGTGTTGAAAACCGAAACAAGTTTTTGGCTAGAAATACACGCAAAATCTTTAAATTAAAAATGGACTTTTTGAATCTATATCATCGTTTTTGTCTATTGTCTTTAGTTTATTTGTTCAAATAAATAAATGATATACTGATAGTAAAATAACATATTGAAAATATCGGCAACAATTTGAACATAATTTGCTAACTTTTATTTATTACACCTATGGATCCTAAAAAAATGCACATCTGCCTTAAATATAGTGCTATAAATAAAAAAATACTGTTATATAAATGATTCATACTTATTATGTTTTATTATTGACAAGTCTCAACAATTTTACTAGTACATCCATAAGAATAATTTCTAGAAGTTTAGAATGGCAGTACTTATTCCGAATTTTTTTTATAAAAACATAATATTTTATAGAAATTACATAACTAAATTGAGATTTAACAAGGAAAATGTTATGAAGCAGACTTATTAGGGCTCTTCTTTCCAAAAAATGTTTGTGTATCTTTCTAGTAATATCATTGAATTATATATTAAACAGATAATGTGATGAGGCTGTTCATTTTTATCTCCATCTGTTTTATTCCTTAGTCAAGCACTGTTAATATATCTATGTAATGAATATATCATCTAAACCTTGTCCCCTGAGAGAAGCGACCTGACAAAAAATGGCTGCTCTGCGCATCTTGGCGTGGCACCTAGTGTGACTAGCGTTCCCTCCGAGACCGCCCTGCCTGCCAGCTGCTTGGTCTCTAATTTACATGAACAAAACCGGCATGTTCTCTCGGTGGACAGGGTATAGTTATGTATAGAAAACTACTGTCAAATACACTTATTTTTTTGTAATAATATGTGCTCAGTGTTGTTTATTATATGGATATTTTTTTAGTTCGAGGATGTCGCCCTGGTAAAACAGTACAAATGTCCGAAGCAGAAGTTAGAGGGCTATGTTTAAAATCTAGAGAAATATTTTTACAACAACCAATTTTATTAGATTTAGAAGCTCCCTTGAAAATATGTGGTTAGTAATCAACTTCATTTTAGATTTTCACTTTTATATAATTTAATAATTTTAATAATTAGGTGACATACACGGACAGTACACTGATTTATTACGTCTCTTTGAATATGGAGGTTTTCCTCCCGAAGCTAACTATTTATTTTTGGGAGACTATGTTGACCGCGGTAAACAATCGTTGGAAACTATTTGTCTCTTATTAGCTTACAAAATTAAATATCCAGAGAATTTTTTCCTGTTACGAGGAAATCATGAATGTGCAAGTATTAACAGGATATATGGATTCTATGACGAATGTAAGGTTTTTTTTAGACCTTTTTATTACAATATTCATATTAATGTGTATTTATTTTTAGGTAAAAGGCGTTATAATATAAAACTATGGAAAACTTTCACTGATTGTTTTAATTGTTTACCAATCGCAGCCATCATCGATGAAAAAATATTTTGCTGTCATGGTGGCCTTAGTCCCGATTTGCAAGGAATGGAACAAATAAGACGTATTATGCGTCCTACTGATGTTCCTGACACTGGTAATTTCCTTGTTACATATCTGTGATATTAAAACTTAATATCGTTCTCAAGTTTAAAAATTGTTTAATTAATTGTTTTTAGGACTATTATGTGATTTGTTGTGGTCGGATCCTGATAAAGATGTAACAGGTTGGGGTGAAAACGATCGTGGTGTTTCATTTACATTTGGTACAGATGTTGTAGCCAAGTTTTTAAACAGGCATGATTTAGATTTAATCTGTCGCGCACATCAAGTAAATATACTTTTGTTAAGAACAAAAAATGTAATAATGCATGAACAAAACAAATGTAGATTTTTATTGTTAGGTTGTAGAAGACGGCTACGAGTTTTTTGCTAAAAGGCAATTGGTAACATTGTTCTCAGCACCAAACTATTGTGGTGAGTTTGACAATGCCGGTGGAATGATGTCTGTTGATGCAACTCTTATGTGTTCATTTCAGGTTGGTTAATTATTTTAAACATCTTTAAAATATTTTTTAGCTTAGTAGCAGGGCTGTGATATTTTTATCATTTGTTCTCAACTTGAAACTTTTTAGATGCCCAATCAATTTACAAAATTAAGAATTTCTAAGATTTTTTTTCATATTTGATAAATTGCAAAAAAAAGTTACTCAAATTCTATTATTTAAATAGGAAAATTTAAGCTAAAAGTAGTACGGGTTGAAATTGAGTTAGAGTGGAAATTATAAAACGTTTTTTTAAAATTAAAACCTTCTCAGCTCCACATCGAAGCTAAAAGAAACTGTTTAATTAAGTTCATCAATTTTAAAAAGTATTAAAAAATTGAGGAGGAGTGGGTGAGTGGGTAAGGCGGCAGTGTGTTAGCGCTCACTGTCGCCTGTTTGACACTCGGTCACAGGCGCTCCGTTTGCTGGGCGAGCAATCGTCCGGTAAAAAGGAACCGCCATCCCCCTCTCCGGCGACGGATTGACGACCCGTCCCGGAAGCGAATTCGTCAAGAAACCATCTCATGATGGCAGCGTTGGGCCTTCATGGCCCGTAAAGCTACACGAAAATGAAAAAATTGGTATGTTTGTAATAACTTAACAAAACATTTAAATAACTTTTGTATCTTTTTTTTTTTAATTGTATTCGTTTCATTTTTGGTTACTTAAGATTTTGAAACCATCGGAGAAAAAAGCAAAATACCAGTATTCAGGATTAAACTCTGGACGACCTGCTAACAGTACAGCTGTTAAAAAGAAATAAACACAATGAGAAATAACAATAATGAAAACTGAATTTCATTAATTTGAACTGTTCAGTAATAAATCACATTGTGGTTGAATGATTTAAATTTCTGGACTTTAAAATAACAAATTTGATTAATGTAAATTTGTCTTTAATGTATAAAAATAAAAATGTATTACAACAATCATTAGATTATGGTTCCTTGTAACCTAAATTATAATGTCCTATAGTATATTGAGTAATTTGATATTAAAATTTATGTACTTTGTATATAGGTTAAAAAAACATTTATTTTAGACAACAAACTAATACTATGTATAGATATAGGTTTTAATTGAGGCTTAGCATCTTTATTTGTTTGTTTTATAAATATAAATATATTATTATAATTAACAAATATTGTTAATGATTATTATATTGTTTCTATCATAACATTATGGCAGCTAATTGTGTTAAACGATAAAAATTTACCAATACTAATAATTTTTTTTTCGAGTTCTATACTTATTTCTTCATGTATAAAAATTACTGTTAAATCAGTTATATTTTTGTCGATAAATATTGAAGTGTCTATAATGCACTAATTTGTATTTTATGACATATGATGTTTCTCTTTTTATTCGCCCAAAGATACACACACACATAGTTGTAGATATATATGTGTATGTGTGTGTTTGTGTATATAAATATGAATTTTTCTTACAAATGTAAAAATAATTCAAAAGCTAAGATTAAAAAATATCCAAATCTTACAAAAATTAAGGATTTTATACTTAACATTTAATGTAACGTGTTTTGTTTTTCCTATGAGAGCTGTGTAATATTTTGTGCAGATCTACAATTGTTAATTGTGTTGTGGTTGTTAGCATTTAAAACAAAAATTACAACTACAGTGTTTTTTTATTTTGTAATAAAAAAAACTCCCTAATAATGCACTTTTAAAAAATATTTTCTGACTAAATTTATATCAGTATTACAAGTTCTTCGACATAGATCTGTCATCATTAATAATTAATATATTTATAAGGAACTAACATTTTATTATTGATTAATTATATTTTAAGCTCTTAATAATTTTTCTTGACGTGTTGACCAAATAATTTACAATTTCTTTTATCAAATCAATTGAAATACATTATTTAATAAATGTTGAAAGACTATGTTTAAGTTTATTTATTATTTACATCAAAATGTTAGTTATAATTGAATAAGACTATATTTTCAATCATATAAAACTTAAGAAGTTCTGTTCAGTTAAAGATACCTTTATTAAATGATTTGCTTAATTCACATCATCCTTTGTGATATAATTATGTTCAACAAATTTTACAATTTAAAATCCACAATATTGTTCGCATTTATAAATATACTAAAATGTAATAATATTTTGCTAGCTGACTAGTATGTTATTTAATACCTAGTAAGTTATTAGCTAGAATAATTGAACAAAAAATTGTCATTTTGTAAATTAAGCATGACCCATAAACAATATAAAAATTTAGCAATGTTAAATGTAATTGAATAATAAAACAAATCAATTTATAATCTTAATAATGTTTTATGTATTAATAACTACCTTTTATTTAATTATGTATCCTATATTTTAACAATATTACTATTCTGTTTACAGCTCATTAGTTTGAACTAAAAAGTAATTTTAATGTATAAAAAAGATAATAGTTAATAATTTTGTTGTTGTTCAATGTGCTACAAACGTGTGGTTTCAGTGAATAAATAAAATTATGGGGGGAAATGATCATAATAAATAATTATGCAAGTTGATGAAATATAGGCTATAATCAATTTATTTTGATAAATTAAAAATTTGTTTTTTTTTTTTTAAATTGTATTATAGCCTTTATTAGATAATCTTCTATTGGACTTAAAAAGCAAAATAATGCGCTGATTTCTTGATAATTGGTGTATTTTTTCCGATTATGTAAGTTAGAGAAATAGACGAAGTACAATAAAAAATAATTAAACGAGTAGTCATGTCTACGTGAATTATGCATCTTAAAGTTGACAATTGATTCATGAGAGACATTACTCTACGAAGACAACGTCTTCCTAACCTAACTTAAAGAATAATTGTATACTAAGAAACTCATTTTGATTATAAGCAAATGTGTATTTTTTGCTTTCTCTATTTATAATAAGTCCATACCAAAATTTCTTTAAAAAAATGCAGTTCCCTAAAACCCCTAAGTGAAGCTAGACATTTTTACAAAATAAAGCTTTTTCTATGGTAACTAAAAGGGACTTATAAAGTAGGGTATATTAAAACGGGGATCGGAGAGTTATTTAGGATAAAATTATATTAATACTTCTGACCTAATAAACGGAGCCTTATCCATTTGTGTGAACACACTTTAGCACGCTTTTACATAACAATAGATACATTTTTTCCGATTATTTTAATCCCCCCCCCTCGAAAAAAAAGCATCACTTGTGTAAGGTGGATATTTATTACTTTAATAAACCCCAATTAAGTGTCTCCGACAGCTCGACTACCGTTAATTCAAGCTCAACCATACATCCAATTCCTAGGGACGAAGCAGAGATATTTTCTCTATATTCAAAATTGTGTTCTTAAGGATGATACTTGCATCACCAATAATTGTTTATTTTTTGTTTTTACATAATATACCGTGGTATATAAATATAAAATACTGTTGTTCTTATTAATTTTTATTGGTCTCTTTGGACTGCCTTATGAACTTCACTTACGTTGATCATTTAAGGAAATTATCGCTTTTCCTTGGCCTCAAACATTAAGTTTTATTAAATGGATCCACGTCGTTACTGATTAATTGTTCTATATAGTTAGACTTTAATATAAAGACTGGCGTTTCAAAGTAGGGGGAAAACTAATATTCGAAAATTAAATTTATTCCCTTTTGGAACACCATACCTCATATAATGCATGCAATGGCGCAACCAAGGGAGGTCCGCTGGTCCAGACCTCCCCCCTTGAGTATTTCTGAAGTGGAAAATTGGTTAGGGTAATTTAGTTATTGTCTAACTATATTTTACAGTAAACAATATTCTATATTTATTTATTTTGGGCTTTGGCAATATAATAACTTATTTTTGCGGTAGATAACAAATCGTTATCAGTTATCACATATTGTCATTTCTTATATTACACATAGACCTTATACCTTAATACCGTACTTTGGACCCCCCAGGGACATTTCTGGTTGCGCTACTGACAGTGGATAATTCTTATGAATGCTACTATAGTTATTAAAATGTATTAATATGTACATTTTAAGTACTATAATATACCTATAATTAATTTATAGAACAATTATACACTTATTTATTATTATTACTATTATATAAAATTAATAATTAAGTGTAAAGTTAAGTATATGTTATTGAAACTTTAACACAATAATTACTTATTACTAAATAAACAATAAAAATAATAAAAACTCCAAAAAAAGAATAATTATCATAAAAAAAATAACGTTTATCGGCTTCTGAGCGAATGGTGGCGCTGCCTGTACAGCGAACTGCGAAGCTAAACTACCAAAATGCCTGAAGGCTACATAGACCTTATACTAGTATATGCATAGACCTATAAAGATTTCTTTATAGGTCTAAGAGTATAAGGTATAAGGTCTATAAGGTCTATGGAAGGCTAAGCAATCATAGATATATATAATAAACTAGATTGCTAACTAGTAACTAGCGATACAAATTGAAGCCGACTGTCCGCATTCTGGTGGGATTTATGTGTTATTAATGCATATAATATATATCTGTATATATTATTATAATATGTATGTGATTATTATAAACATATACTATTCTCGCGTGATAAGGTTCTAATTCCCACCAAGATGTCAAAATACGAGTTTATAAATCGAGTGCGCAGAAATGGCGATAGATTTTCTCCGCCTGTGATTTATTTAAATATAATTTGAAATGCCTCTTTGTGTTTTTGATGGAAGTGGCAGTAGGCGCAAAGGTCTCACAAAGGAATCTTCACAAATTCCTAAAAATAAGGAATTAAAAAAAAATGGGTTTTGCAAATTCAAAGTAATAAACCTATTAAATGTAGATAAAGGTAACAGATATTAAATATTTAGTTTTAAAAGGAGTTATAAGGAGATAAAAGGAGTTGGTGTTGTTGTAGCTTTTGTATGTTCATTACATTTCAACGCTAATGACATTGTTGAGAAAACTTTAGTACACAAATTAGCAGGCTATTCACCTCAAAAATCAAGGAGAGCCAAATTCAATACCATTGAGGTATGATATTAATAAGATACTCAGGCACCGGTCCAAGTCTAAGTGTTCATAAAAAAGTGTAGGTTGCACATTGGACAAAATTGAGTCGTACATAGGACGGGGGCCGATAATCATTTTACTATAACTACAATTTAGGTTATGTAATTTGTATTAATAGAGAAGTAAGGTACTTAAATTACATTTTTTATCATTTTTTTTTTTTATTTAATAATTGTTTTAGTCAAGACTTATAGTAGAACACCATATTTTATATGAAATTTCCTTATCTATAAATCATTCTTATTAGTTAGTACTAACCCTAAGTATTTAAACTGCTTGGCTCTGCTGAAAACATAGTTTTTTATATAATTAAATATATAATAAATATGTATTCATGTATATATTTTAAATCCATAGACAGGTTAAATGATACAAAAAAAAGACTTCTTTCAATTACTTGTAAAAGCCTTTTCCTGCAACCAACATAGTTTATCCTTGTTCTGAGGAAATGAATTCAGTAGGTAGTTCTCTCTTGCTTTTTGCATCACAGTTGATGAGCCAGTACGTTTTGTGAGATGTACAAGCTGCTGTAGTAGTAAGTTATTGTGTCTTACCACTACGTCCTTTTAAGCGCCTTTAATTAGCAGGAGTTACTGTATATCTATTCTTAACCCCAACCCACGGGGGTTAGATTGTGAAAAGATCTATAAAATGTGTATATTGTTATAATCTCATTCCTTAGTTTTTATACATTGGAGCATTAACTACACAATGTGTGATATTAAAGACATAACTCTATAAGAAATGTTTTTTGTCTATTAGGAAAAATTATTGGAATAACTATTAGATTTATAATTTGAATTAAACATAAATTATTTTAACATAATGTCATCCCACGGAACACATGTAAGTGATAGCATGAATATTGATTACTACCGCCTGATAACGTTTAGAGAAAAGCAAGATGGCTGATACTGCGTATCACGACAGTTGACATCATACCTATCTATTTTGTCATGGTTTTATCCATGATATTTATTGTTTTTTTTATGATTTATTATATATATATATATATGTTATATGACGGTGTTATCACAGAATAGATAAAATGATCATCACCTAACCTAACATTTTAAGACATATCACGGAAAAATGACGTATAATTTTTACTTTCTATAAAAATGTACACAAAATGGCTGCCTCCCGGGTGGAGTCATTTATATAACGTTTTTATGAACTCACAATCTTGTTTGTCGTACCAGGTTCAAACCATCATTATACTTTTTTGCATTTTCTTACAACTTTTATGATAATTTATACTGTAATAAATCTAAAATTATAAGCTTTTAAATTGATTACTAATTCTTATGATAATCCTTCTGACCATGCAGCAATAACATTGTACATTTAAATGTATAGATACGTACATACGAAAACGAAAAACAACAAAATAACTAAAGTAGATTAAAAAATTAATCTAAAAATAACGTTTTTATGCGCCTTAAAAATGATAAAATAACCCTCCGGGGTCTTGATAACCAAATAGGACAGGTGAACTAGAAAAACGTGGAGCGCATCTTTACTATTTCACACGTCTGAATATATAATAACATTCTTTTCTCATTATTAACTACCTTAACTCATAATTCGTGCACAATTATCTTTTCTCTTCTAAATAAATAATACTTAATGGCATGCCGTGAAAAATTGAGCACCACATTACTTTAAATGTTAAGCAAGTAGATAGCTAACAAAAAAATTCACTTTCTGATCCGTTCGGTTAGAGAGACAGCATTATGAGAGACAACTTAATGCATTAGCATGAATGCTTAGGTTATAATATCTAATTAGAAAAATGCGCCCCACGTTTTTCTAGTTCACCTGTCCTATATGGTTATCAAGACCCCGGAGGGTTATTTTATCATTTTTAAGGCGCATAAAAACGTTATTTTTAGATTAATTTTTTAATCTACTTTAGTTATTCAATCTGAATACGCGTCCCATATTATATTGAGTTCAGTAGTGGTAGGTGTGATACCTAATTTTCTGTGTAGGTCGTTATCATATTTCCTCCATAGCAATTATCTAACTTTTATAACAACTGATTACAGCTGTTCAGTGATAAGTATCCTATTAGTAGTCGGTACTGGACTGTCTAGTGTCTACACTCGACTGCCGACACCCATGTCCCAGGATGCGCCGTGCAATGACAAACATAATATGACTAAAACATTATCGATTATTCCTGTATATTTATTATAGTTATTAGCTTATAATTCATATTTTACAGTTCAGTTGATTCTTAGAAATTATGATTAGAAATAATTAAATTAATTGTTTTAAATTACTTTGATAGTTGTGTATCGAATATAAAAAACTATTTCTTTTAAACCATAATTATATTTGGCTAGCCTAACTTTCATTTTTCTGGAAGGTAGGTGTATCGAATAATTTTCTAAATATTTTTTATCTCATTTAAGGGTGTAAATGTTAAAATTAGTAAATGATTTACGCAAAAATAGAGTAACTAGTTTTCGTTTATGCATGTCAATAAATTTATTAAGTTCAATAATATTATCAATTTATTGTTGTTTTTGAAGGTGATATTTTTGAAGTGATCCACTCATTATTTAATAAGAGTTAAATCAGTTCTTGAATTTTTTCTTTTGCAAAAGTGGTTTTATACAATATGATCACAAACTTTCATGTTTTTAATCCCCTTTTAGAATAATTATATTTATATAAACTTTTGAAACTTCAATGGTAGTGTATACGTTGTATTACTATTTAGTATTTAAATTAAGAATATTTTATAAATTATGTTTAGAGTTTAGGTTGAGAGTAGTATTATTTTTATTTGTGAGCTCTTCCTCTCCCATCCTTTCTTTTAAAATTTAATAACTTCAAAAATAATTATCCAAAACTGTTTATGGTCCAGTTAAAATTTGTAGTATAATATTTTTAATTTAAACGTTAATAAAGTATTTATGTTTTAAAATTTGATATAAAAATAATTAATTTGGGCGTTAAAAATTGAAATCATATTGTATAACAACACTATGAAAAGAAAATTTGATTTTCTAATTGAACCCTGTAAGATGTTGGATCACTTTAATTAAATTACTATGTGTATTAATTAAACTATATACTATTCAGTTCATTTAATATTTTATGCTCCCATTTAGCCTACAATTTCTATTAAAAAAACAAACATTTTATTAACTACAAACGTATTTAATGTTACATAAAATATGTATATCAATTTTTTTTTTTTTGTAGTCAATATGAAATCAACAAAAAGAGTTTTATCCATACAGAGTCATGTGGTCAGTGGATATGTGGGAAACAAAAGTGCTGTATTTCCTTTACAGGTATAATACTATTATTAAAAATATTTAAAACATTAAGACTAAGGACTCAGTCTGCCGTTAGCGCTGAAGATGACAACATTGTTGCCGAAATACGTTGTATACGCGGAGAGTATACACAACGTAAACGGAGAGTGTATTATTTTATGGTTAAGGGTGCTTTAAATATTATTTTATTATATACAACCATAAGTTGCTCAAGTTTTTTCTAGTATAGTATATTATTCAAGATAATTGCATTCATTTTTAAATGTTTAAATATTTATTAATTGTTTTTAGTTGTTTACCATATTAATGATATCTTATTATTTTCCAGGTAATGGGATTTGAAGTTGATGCTATCAATTCTGTTCAGCTGTCGAATCACACTGGCTACAAAACATTTCATGGGCAAGTTTTGAATGAAACAAACTTAAGTATGATCATCACCATTACTATTATAGTATACAATTAAGTCGTCATAAAAGTAACAGCGGCTGATGTGCATTCAAGAGATGTATATTGAGGAAGAAGGTATACTTAAAGTTAAAGATTGATACCATATTGGAATGCACATTAACCGCTGCCATTTTTAATAATTAGTTGCCTAAACTGTGTGTTATAAAATGTCCTTCCCTAATAATATTTGTGTTATAATAATGCTCTAAAATTGTTTTTGATATATTTTTGTATAGTGGAATTGATAGCTGGACTTGTTGAAAATGATTTACATTATTACTCTCATTTACTGACAGGATATATAGGATGTCCAAATTTTTTGCAAAAAATTGCCGAAGTTTATATAATTTTGAAAAAAAAGAATCCAAATTTAATATACGGTAACTTTTTAAGCTTACTTATTTATTATTAATTATATGACGTAGATGTTGATTTGGAAATTATATATTATGGCAAGATACTGGGTGATTAATGTGGCATACTGGGCCAGAACATTGGAGGGTAATCTTATTATGAGCCGTCAATGGTTTAGGCCTTATGAGCTCGTGAGATCAACTATTTCCAGATAACCTAATTAAGTCCTAAAGCCTTTTTACACAAATCCATTCCTGAAAATAATTAATATTTAAAACATAATATAAATAAATGTTTAAACTTTGTTATATTTTTTGCCACTTTTTTATGGCTTCTGAACTAAACTTAATCTTTTAATTTATGACTGCTATAACATCTTTCACGTATTTGTTTTAGTTTGTGATCCAGTAATGGGCGATAATAAAGAAATGTATGTTCCAAAAGAAATGTTAGATATTTATAGGAAGGAAATAATCACTTTAACAGATATAATCACACCCAATGAATATGAATTAGAGTAAATCAATTTTATTAACATTGTACTTTGAGATTATTGTTTAATAATTGCATTTTATTTATAACAATAGACTATTAACTGGTAAAACTATAACTTGTACTGATGACATCTATGAAGCTATAAGAATACTACAAAGTCTGGGCTGTAAAACAGTTGTGGTTTCTTCGTCTAATATTGAAGACACTCATTTGAAATGTATTGGAAAATATATTAATAGTAAGTATGTTCAAATATTATGATTAAGGCCCTAGTGTTCTAAAATAATTGTTGTAATAAATAGTTAGATGAAAATCATTTATTTGCATAACCTAACCTAATTTAGTGGTATGTTTTATCCTTCATCAGTGCCGTAACTTGACCTGGCGAACTTGGTGGCCCCTCAGAAACACATATAAGTAGATAAGATGAATGCCCACTAGTGTTAGATTGCCCACTAGGCAGTATATTATACTATTTTTTATACTTTACTAATTTTATAGTTGACAAACTTTTGGTACCTTTTTCAAATTTGTTAAAATTTGTATGAGTGATCTATGAATGCTTTAATAACTGTTTTTTTTTTAGGCAAAGAGTATGTGGAAATAAATATACCTTACATTGACCATTCTTTTATTGGTACAGGCGATTTGTTTGCTTCATTAATATTGTTATGGATGACCTTAAATAAAAATAACTTAAAGGAGTCAATGGAAAAAACGGTTGCAACTATTCAGGCAGTATTGAAACGAACTTTGAATTGTATGGAAAAAACAAAATGTGATGCGGAAAGCTAAAAGAGACCTGTTGTCGGCAAAGTCAATTTTGATAAAAACGCAAAAAGATACACAATGTATTCCTATTTGCAAACTTCAAAATGCATTAATTTATAAAAAAATTAATTAATATTTGTTTTATAGTAATATTTTTACCCACAAAGATGTACCAGATCTCAAATTGTTCAAAATTTAATTCAATCAAGATTCAGAAAGTACCACTAACTAAATTTTGGAAAATTCCAACAAAAGGTCTCTTTTTGCTTTGCACATCGCCATCTATATTTTGTGTGTAATTTGTAATTGAAAATTATTAAGCTGATATTTTGATTATTATTTGTAATGCAGATATTAAGCAAGCCAATCCCAAAACTCCAACATTTAACAAAGAACTCAAATTAATTCAAAGTATTGATGATATACGAAACCCTACTATCACAATATTTGGAAAAACAGATTATGTAAAATAGCTTTACTTATTTGTATAGTTACTATTATGTAGCATTAATTGTTTATTTCATTGAAAAATATAATTTATTAATATTATATACTGTAAAGAACTAGCTGTAGTTAATATACAAATTTATATGTTACCAAGATAACAGTTTTTATAATTATTTATGTTATCTCTTTTTTTTACCATACTATTAAGTTATCTTACTGAAATTACTTAATTCCTTATAGTATGTTAACCATGTATTATAATAATAATAGTTTTTAAATGATTTTTAGTTGTTGAGTTATTAATTTAGTATTATATTATATTGCAGTTTAATCTGATAAGTAATACCAGATGTACCAAACTTCAAGTCTTCCAAGACACCTATATACCTATATAGGTTGAGTTAATAAAAATTTGTAATTTATTTATAATTTATACATGCATTTTGTGTGCTAATTACAACAATTATTTTTGAAGGATAAATTATAATTGTAGTATTGTTTATGATCTATGTAGTAGAACTGAAAATAATATGTACTAGTCTGAATTAATATAACATTAATTGTTTTTCTTGTGTGGATTATATCTATTTGGGGCACCATATAGGCTACATGGTATATGGAGGAGAATGGTCTCTGGTCTCCCTCTACTGTTGTGCTGAAATACAAATGTCTCTTAACCACTCGGCCTCCTTCATTTTTCTATATTAGTTAACCGCAAGCTAACAATGTCTTAACAATTGATGAAACAATTCACCTTTTACTCTTAAAAAAATTTGTTTTTTTTATTGTCTAAAATCAATTGTTGTTCTGACATTTTTTTTACATATTTCAAAAAGTGTTCCAACACACATTTCTTTGAAATAATGTATAAAGTATATTAGTTTATTATAACAGTAGGGAATGCTATAAATAATATACATTTTAAAATTATTACTCGTTATCGAAATAAAGAGATCATTTATCTCAAACTTTTCAAAAGCTCGTTTCAAAAGGCTTACACATTTTCAAATTTAATCTTTTCTATGACTAGTCTAGAATCGAGAATAAATTGTAGATGTATGGTTAATTTTTTTATTCCTCCATTAGGCATTAGTCTTCCTTTCAGAACTTTAAATTATTTTACTATGACTCAATTTCTTTAGAATTTTAATCAAACTTGTCATTCGTGTCATAAATGTTATTTTTGATTAATCTGAAACTACATAGGTTTTTAGAGGTTGAAACAATTAATAAAATTAAAATAAATCATGATATAATTAGCTAGTTTTGTCATGATTACAATACTATAGTGGAATATTCTATCTATATAAAAGCCCCATTACTCATTAGCATGTAAACACACTAAGCAATAAGCCAATAGGTAGGAATAGCGGACACACATATTGTATTAACTCATTAGGCATTATTCAGTTCACAGTAGACATTTTACAAATTACAATTTAATATTTTACTATAATAATATTTCGTTATTTCCGCTACCAAACCACGACCAAATAAAATATAAAGAGGTATGACCACGACTTTCTTATTTTGGTTCGGTTTGCGCAGCTCACCTAAATAATTGTTCCTATAGTTTGATTTTTCGGAGAATCAGACGGGAGGGGGTATGAAGACGGGCATGCCGCATGCGGTTCACAAATTTGTGATACCTATTGATTTTGTTCTACCAAACCATAACATAGTATTAAATTATCAAGTCTATGACCAAAATTCTGTTTTTCACTATACCGCGGTCTGGCATGTTTCTTGATATGATAACGCAGTACGCGTACACAACGTCATGATTAGGAAATCTTTGGTTCCTTTTAGTTTTTACTTCTTGTTATAATTATCTGTGTACCCCGAGCCATGAGCATTAGTTTAGCGATTTTTCATTTTTTTCTAATACAGCTAAATAAAGTTAATAGTTATGTAGAACTTCTACATTGTACGATAATGTTTTGAAACTGCTAGTGAAAATATTCAAGTTTTTTCTGACAGACCGTCCATAGTAGTAATGAAGTAACGAAGTATCAAGATTCGCCTAAACTTATGAGCAACAAGTGAATACGTAAGTTTTAATATTGTTTTTTTACAAAACATCTTTAAATTAATTTAGAACCTAAATAATAATCAGGTTTTGTATGTTTGAACTGAAATAGGACTTATAGTGTTAGTAAGAAGTAAAATGTATGTTAGAATATTAAGCAATAAAATGTAGGCCATACGATGAATGACAGAACAGAACAAAATAGTCAACACAGTTAAAATTAAAAATATTCTTATTATTTAAAGCTGCTCAAAATACGATGTCTGTTGCACTCTCCTGTTTATATCCGACTGTCGTGTGTAGAGTTTATCGCGTTTTTTGACTCGATGATAACAAGTTAGGAGTGCGGGATAGTTATAAACTTAACTCTAGGTCATGTTGACTGAGCTAGCCGGACATTACATATGACAGAACCTATTGTTTATTTAGTTCAAGTATTCACAACTAAGATTTAAAAACAATTATAATTTTGTGAATAAGGTTTATGCATTTGTTTTTATATCATTCTGAGCTATTTAATAATCAAATATTACATCTTCAATTTGTCCTCCTCCATTTAGTCTACACAAATTAATACTGTCGGTAAAGTTCGCGATCACGTTTAGACACATTTCATCAATTACACTCCAAAATTTTTGTCTAAGTTACTGATCAGATCGAGTCGAGGTTTGTTGACGTAAACAAGATATTTCTTACACCCCCAGAGAAAATAATCACATTGTGCAAGATCGCATGATCTTGCTGGCAATGGTTGGTCGCCACAAATAAAAATGACGCGTTGTAAGAATTTTTCACAGAGCGCAAAGCTCTTGGGTGTCCCAACTTAACCTAACCGACCAGCCATGGCCTGCAAGATCATGTGATCTCACACCATGGGATTATTTTCTCTGAAAGTTATGTGATATCTCTTGTTTACGTCAACAAAATTCATCTTTTCAGGAATTTAAACAAGAAAGTCAGCGTGTAATTGATAAAATTGTTGAAGAGATGTGTCAATAAGTGATCTTAAACTTCACTGACAGAATAATTTTTAGTGGTTTAAACGGAAAAGGACATATTGCATATGTAGTATTTCATAATTAAATTGGAACACATACTGAATGTAAAAATACAAAATATAATCTTTTTGGTAAAAAATTGAATGAGGTTTTTGAATGGTTTTTTGTCCCGCCTATGGCTTTTGTTTCATTGTTTTTATATGTAAAACAACTATTCTTTATTAGCTGGTATTATGTATAACTGTCTAATACTAAGAGGATTAGATAGGATTATTCTAGTTATTGCCTATCTTAAGCGCAACATAGAAACTTATATTTCTTTTATGTTTATTTTGTTGATTAATCTAATGATGTGATTAATAATTTGCAAACGAGTTTAAACTTCTTATAAAGTTTACTTTAGATCAGTTTTTTATAACTTTTTAAAATTTTTAATTTTGGAAAGCGTAATAATTTAAAATTAAAAAGAAGTATAAAAATCGATCTACAGTGAACTTTATGACACATTTATATTTGTTTGAGATTCCTATCACATTAGTAGATTGATTGTTATAATGGATAAAAAGTACTGACGTAATATTGATGTAAGATAGACGTTTTTTTGTTCACGTACAATTAATTTGAGGGCAAAATTATCATTCACACATGTTTTTAAATTATAATTTATTTTTCAATAGTAATTTTAGAAATTTTAATTTGTTATTATTTTCTGTTTGTAGTTGTAGTGTTACTCAATAATAAAAATATGGAAAATAAAACTGAAGAGAACATTATTAAAAACAACAAAAATACGGAAAGTGATGAAAAGAAGCAAAAATTATATTTGAGTGACAAATTTATTGATTCTCAAAAAAATAACTTGAACATTAAAAATATCCCTGAAATAAACGCAAGTACATTTATATCAAATAATGAGAATGCCACTGTAGCTATTTCAAAATCAAGCTCTACTCCAATTTTAAGTGTTGATAATAATATTGAAAATCTGACTTGCATTTCTACAATGTATTCAAATTCTGTGCTAGATGACAATGCTTCTAAAATTAATTTAAATTCCAATAAGGTGACACCATGTAATACTATCAGTTCAAATTCAGTTTTGAAAAAAAATGCAAAATCTGAGATTGAATCCAAAATAAACGTTATTGTAAAATCTAAAGAAACTTCAAATCAAACCTCTCTTGCAAATTTGCATTCAGAAAATAATTTCAATTCCAATAATGTGACTCCATGTAATACTATCAGTTCAAATTCAGTTTTGATCGAAAATAATGCGAAATCTGAGATTGAATCCAAAATGAACTTTATTGAAAAATTTGAAGAAACTTCAAATCAAACTGCTTTTACTTTGCATTCAGAAAATAATTTAAATTCCAATGATGTGACTCCATGTATTACTATCAGTGCAAATTCACTTTTGATTGAAAAAAATGTAAAATCTGAGATTGATATTAGAGTGATTGAAAAATCTGAAGAAATTTCTAATCCAGCCGCTCTTACATGTTTAAATTCACCAAGTTTAGAAAACATTGACAAAAAGCAAAAAGAATTGCAAATAACAAATTTTAAGCAGTTTTCGAATTGCGGAGATAATAAAAATGTTCGCTGCACACTTTGTCACTGTATAATACGTCTTGAAAAATCATTACTTGATCAACATGTGACCAGTTGTAATAAACAACAAATCCAGTCGTCATATGGTATTAATGCTTTTTTTTGTCTAATTTGTGAAACAAACTTTAAATCTCCATCAAACTGGAAAACACACATTATTACTCCTGCTCATATTGAGAAGTGTAAAAATGGTAAATATATTTTCTCATACAACTGTGGCGGTTGCAAAGCTATGTTTTATGGACCGAAAGATCAAATTTTAGAACATTGTCAAACTGTCCATAACGATAAGTCATCTCTACCATGTATTTTCAAATTAATAAGCTTAATATTTTTTCAATATATTAACATTAATCCAGGAAATTCAAAGTTGTGGAAATTTTGTGGACCGTGCAAAACATTTTCTGATAATAAATTGAACTGTTTACCTTACAAACATCGTAACAAAAGAACTAAAGTTTTCGAATGCAAGTCTTGCTTAATAGAGTTTCAATGTAGTCAAGAAGTATATGATAAACATCTTCTGTCAGGTGAACATATTGTGCTACAACACTTAAGAACAACAACTACTTCAAAATCGACACCACACAGTATTTGTAATTTAAAATTACCCAAATTAATTTTAAACAAATTTTCGGTGGATTCATATAAAGCAATATGTAATGCTTGCAAGTCTAATATCAGTCTGGATGAAAAATCTTTAGTTATTCATTTATCAAAATGCATGTTGAAACAAGATACAACTGACCAAAACTTAACGAAAATTAATCAGTTTTATTGCGCTGTTTGTCACGAAGATATTTCAGATTTTATTAAGTGGACAAATCATCTGATTACGCCTAATCATATTCTAAAATGTCAAACATTTAATAATTTAGTATCTTATACTTGTGACTCTTGTGCTAAACATTGTTTTGGCAGTGAACATTTTGTTACAGAACATCAAAAACTTCATCCAAATACACATGAAGTCAAGTTTTCCAATTTTAAAGCTCACAATTTTCAACGTATTGGTGATAATTTAAACTGCAAAGAATTGTACTATTGTGAACTATGTGCAACCCACGCACAAGTAACTTCTGGTTCAGATCACATGAGTAAAAGTCATAAAACGAGGTTACACCGTGTAACATGTGACACTTGCCGCATACATTTATTGTGTGTTGAAGGAAATAAACTGTATAATCAACATTTATTATCAAGCGAGCATATTATGTTGAAGTATTTAGCTTCGGCTAAATTGTCTGAACCTAAAATTTCATCTCTGTTGTCATCTAATCTAAATACAAGCATTGATTCAAAGAAATCTACAGAATATAAGTATTTAGAAATGATGATAAAAACAAAAATTCCGTTATTTTTTAAATCGTTTTTGAATTGGTTTTCGTACATTGAAGATCAAAATAAAGCTAAATGTTTAGTTTGTAACATATTAATCAATATAGATGATAACGATCTCATTAGTCACGTGTTATTTTGTAATAAAACATTTGCGGAAAAATTTGATAAAACCATGACTAAAAAATATGTTTGTTTTAATTGCTCTTATAACTGCAATGTTTATGACGAATGGAAATCACATGCTATTTCACATGGTAATAAAGACAATACTGGTTTGAATTCGATTTTTTGTAAACATTGCTGTTCACTTCTGTATGGAAAGGAACGACAGATATTTCAACATTTGAAAAATGAACATAACCTGGATTTGGGAAAAATGCCACTAGAATCAACATTTATATCCGAATTATTTTCCAAGAGAACTGATATCAAGAATGAAAATTTTGATGTTTTATACTTTTGTGAACCTTGCAAGAAATATTTTAAAGTCGAAAAAAATCAAGTTCATTTTAATGCAAATAGTCATATATCGGTAGCCTTAGACAGTACTGAATTGTTTTATTGTACTAGTTGTAAAATTGAATTCAGTTGTTCAGTTGCAATGTTTCACACCCACAAGTTAACAGTTGAACATATTGTGCTGAGCTTAAGCCATGAATCAAATGAAACTGAGGAGAATATTCCAAAACACACGGCGTTGGATTTCCATTTGCTTACTTATGTCATTAATCAAAAATTGTATGAGGAAACCTTAAACATCGGTTTTTTTTGTTTTCTCTGTAACTATTTGTGTAATACATTAGGCCAATGGAAAATACATATATGTAGTAAAAATCATATTAATCATTCAAAAGGTCCAAACTTGGATCATCGTTGTAAAATTTGTAAAACACTTATGTTTGGCCAAAGAACCCAAATATTTGAACACTATAAAAATCAATTTCATTCGAAATTAAGGCAGTATAAATTAAGTTTCAACAAAACTGATATTTCATCAAAACAGTCAAATAATGAAGTAGCAACAAGTAATAAAACAAAAGAAATTTCAACTAACGAGCAAAATACACTACTCTTAATTTCAAAAATGATGAATGAACTCTCTATTCAATCAAATACGTCAAATTTCAGTATTTATTTTAAAATGAGATCCAAAATGATGTACGAAATGAGTAATAAGAAAAATATAAATAAAACACAAATAGTTTACTTTTGTGCACTTTGTGATTTTATTACTGGAGAAGAAATTCAATGGGATAATCATAAGAAATCTGAACATTCTAATACTGTATCAAACATACATAACGTATTATGCGATGTATGCCGTTTATACATTTTTGGACCGGATAATAATTTAGAACACCATGTTATTACTATAGAACATAAATTAATGGTTGAATTCCAAAAATTAGAAAGTAATAAGATGGAAACTACGAGAACCGCTGTTAAACTTGTAAATAATAAATCTATAAATGACACTAAAAATAAAGAAGAAAAACAACAATTTAATACGAAAAAAGAAGAAAATGAAGATACGAGGAATCGAAGAATCTATATTGAAATTAAAGGTACAGTATATTATAGCGTTTATGAAAATCTAATTTCATATGTGTAAATCTGAGAAAAACATATTTTTTTGTTCTAGGGGCTAAACCAGAACATAAAAAAAATAATTGGGTAGACCTTAAGAAAGTCTTTCAGCCGTTTGGCTATTTTGGAATCTTCTCAAACAACAATACTATTAAGATATTTTTCCGGAGGCTGTAAGTAATTAAAAGGAAAATCATATACAATGTGTATTGATTGAAATAATTTATTATTTACAAGTCAAACTAGAAAATTTTATTTTTTTTCAATTAGGGGTGTGTCACATTTTAAATTATAAAATAGCTTGAGAATGCAATTATCCAAACTCAAATTTCTTTTTTAAAATATTATGTTCTGATAGTTTTTTTTTTTTTTTCAATGAGGAGGGGTGGCTGAGTGGGTAAGGCGGCAGTGTGTTAGCGCTCACTGTCGCCTGTTTGACACTCGGTCACAGGCGCTCCGTTTGCTGGGCGAGCAATCGTCCGGTGAAAACGAACCGCCATCCCCCTCTCGGGCGACGGTTTGATGACCCGTCCTGGAAGCGAATTCTTCAAGAAACCATCTCATGATGACAGCGTTAAGCTACTTGATGATGATAATAGTTTTTTCAATATTCTGAATATTTTAGAGATTTTAACGCCTTTTTAATTAAAAACAATTGTTTGAAATTTTAATCAACTGTAATGCAATGCAGTGATATTCACCTGTACCAGTGGTACATTAGTACTTCTAAGTTTTGAGTACTTTATGTACTAAAACATAAACTTTTAGCATTTTTGTTTTAATTATTTATGATTAAACAAAATCTTAGTCGATAGAAAAATTGAGGGCTAGAATTTATTTGAATACTGTTTAAATAGTTCAAATTATTATGTCCATTCAATGTTAATTTAATTTAAAAAAATACAAATAATAATAATAATTTGTTTAATATTCTTTCAGTTCTTCCATTAGCCGTGTGTTAGAGGAGAAAGAAAATTTAGAAAAAAAACATCAATTCACAATCAATGTTCTAGATGATGGTATATTTCAACATAATATTTATTATTATTATAAAACACAACTATATCTATGTATCCCTTAACAATAAAACATCGATATTTCAAGTATAGGTGTAATAGATATATTGGATCAAAACAAATAAAAAACTTATCTAACGGTTTAGTCATCTTTAGACTTTAAAAAGATACATTAAACCGTACTTGGTAAACCATAACTAAGAAAAATCCTATTTCATTCTTAGTCATGTTATTATATCGGATTTTTTTTTTTTGTCGGTTAAACATTTTTTTTAACGATTCATTACCTCAACAAAGTTGTTAGGATTAAACATTTTTTTGAATTTTTCTTATCCACCAATTATATTTGGTTTATAAACTATATAAAGCAAAAAATAATTTTTTTTTTTTTAAAGATATGACTTCAACAATAAAATAATTATAATGCTAACATTTTATTTTATTTGTTTATAGAAGAGTTAATGCCAGATCTGAATAAACTAACAGAATATGAATTTGGAAACAAAATTGTTATCATGAAGTTAATTGAAGCCCAACTAGATGAGATCACATATGAAATAACTAATCCCAGTATACCCAACAAATTAATCTTATTAATAAATTCGATACATCGTTGTGCTGGTCCTACCTTCCTTTATGGAAAAACTTACGCTTTTGGGTCGCGTATGTCCGGTCTAGCACTCAGGGATAGTGATGTTGATTTGTACTTCGATATTGGTAACTATTGATTATAACACAAAACTTATAAAAAAAATATATTTATTTCCTGTATTGTGGCCTTATGTTTAAAAATTCAATTTTTTTAGGAAACACTTTTACCGGTTTATTGAGTAATGACCCAGCTACCCAAGAAGACCTCGTTCGATATTTTGGCAAAGTATTTCGATCCCAAACCAAAGAATTCAGACATATACAGACAATATGTGCAGCTCGAGTACCAATTGTTAAATTTTTGCATGTCCCATCAGGTTTGCATTGCGACTTATCTTTTAAGAGTGGACTTAGTACTCACAATACTAAACTAGTCAGGTTAGTAAAGCACATTAATTGACATTTGACATTTTAATTTTATTAATATGTTGTGTACTTTTAAATAGATTGTATCTTATGTTGGATAAACGTGTCCACTGGGTTGTTTGTGCTGTTGTTAAACGTTGGGCATTACAAAACAATCTCAAAAATCAAGGCATGTTCACTAGCTATGCATTAGCCTGGCTAGTTCTGTTTTATTTAATGACCATTAATGTAGTGCCGCCATTGAAATATCTCAGAGATTACGCTACTGTTTCGGACATCATGTTTATTGAAGGTTTGTCAAATTAAAAAATCTATGTTGGTAGTGTTTTTAACAACAGTATATGTTATAGATTGGGATTGCACATTTTGTACACCCGAAATGGCCAAGCAAATATGGAAGGTACCTGAAATTCCTCCTTGGGAGTTGTTAAATGGTTTTTTTTCTTATTATTCAAATCCAATCACTCTTAAAAAGTTAGTTTTATGTCCTGCAATTGGCGAAACTATACCTAAAGATATGTTCTTTAATATTCCAATGAACGCCAAAGACATACTGGGCTTTCATAAAAAGAAAACTGGCGATCCTACACAACGATGTAATGAAATACGTGGCAACTTTTTCGGAGAAGGCCTTGCAGTACAGGATCCTTTTGATTTATTTCATAATATAACAAAAACTATATCACTGAAAAAGTTAAACATATTTTGTCATTTATGCAGCAAGACCAAAGAAATAATGTCTAACGGAGTTCAATTTTATTATGCTTAGAGTTCGAAAATACAATGACTATCACAACGACAATTTCATCTTATGAAGTTTTTTATGCTCTCTGTAATTGTATAACACAAGCTTTATACACTTTTAAATTAATATAATTACAGACGGTTAAAAATTTAAAAGACGAGTGAAATGTTACATTATCACTATATTATAAAATTGAATAAACAATACAACTATTATTCCCAGTAGTTACTTGTTATATTGTTCTCATAAATGTTTAACATTAATATAAACATGTTTTCAATTATAAATGTATTTATGTTATTTTTATTATGGTATAGTTACTGTTTCTACTATTATTAGTAATATAACTCGATTATAAATCATTGTGTAACTGACAGTATTTTAGTAATGTAAAATTGAAGTTATACGTTTTATTCTCTTATTATTGAACTTAGTAATTCTTATATCAATTAATTCCATTTATATCATTCATCATTTATAAGTAAAGTGTAATAAGACTGATGATGACTAAATTTGTATTAAAAAAAATGTATAAATTGTACAGTTACTATTATACATAATGATGTAATTTATTAATTTTAAAAACATTGTGTGAGAAAAATGTATATATTACTCTGACAAATACTGCAAATATTTTATTGATTTTCTTAAATACTATACATTGTATGTATTATTTTTTCAATTTTGTTTTCTCTCATGTGAATTATTATATTAATCATAGGATTCATTTTTATATTAAATAATAATAATAGTACAATACTTAAGTAGAATTTATAATCTATGTACTCATATATATTTAATAATAAATCTTTATTTAAATTGTACTTCTAAAAACTTTTAAATCCATTTTATTATAGGTTTGTTTTTAGTAAGCTGTAATGGAGATTTTATTTTTAATAATTATCCGAAAATATTTATTGCGATTATGGTAGTGAAGAGTCACATTAAAATATAGTTCAAAAGTGTCCTTGCTTCAGAATAAAATATAATAAGTTTCGATTATAATACAGATTTTTTTTATAATCTATAGTTGACTTAAGCTGAATTTACATACTAGCAATTAGAATGAGAATTTACAGGAAAACCTTTATAATTGACAAACAGTTTTCGTAGAAGTGTGGAATCAGGTCTAAGGTAACACATTTATTGATACCATTGAAACGAGTTGGATACAGTTTCTGTATTTTTTAACCGCTAATCACCTAGTATTACCAAAGTGCACTTTGAGTGTCATTCATTATTTATAATTACACTATATAATAGGTCAAGCCCTGTTATTTTAACAAACTTGGTAGTTTTCATTTGTAAGCTATACCATATTATTATAACAGTATATGCGCCATTTAACCTTAAATACATGTCATAAATACTAAATACACAAGTATAGTGAATAAAATCTTTTGTTTTAAAATGTTAAAAGTAACATGCATACATAATTTTAAACACTTGAAGTAATGTTATAATTTAACCTAAAATAAATTAGTCTTCTTCAATAAATTTAACATGTTGTGCTAATCGTTTTTCTGCTTTATTTAATAGTTTCGATCGTCCACGTGGCTTTTTTGTTTCTTTTTGTTTGCTGCATTTAGTTTCACGGTCGCGCAGAATTTTTTCCCAATATTTGCTTTCATCTTCACCTAAAATCCGATTATTCTTTCATATTTTATTTAAAAACAAACAAATTTTCAACACAAATAAAATACCTTCTAGCAGTTTAGTTACAGGCCAACGATTTTCTTCTACAATTTTTTTTGCAGATTCTTGAGAGTCGCAACGCACAAATACTTCTGTATTGGATACAACATCTACAAACTTAACCGCAGGATCCGACTTCGCTTCAATCTACAAATATTTTTTAACTAAATTGTCTAACCTGTAGTTTTGTCAAATTTTTATCTACTATACATTCTATATTATAAACATATCCACTTACTTTGAATGATTTTTCAGACTCAATGGGGTTGGTAAATGTTACTTTTAATATAATTCCAGATTCATATTTCACACGAATGTCTTTTTTCACTTTCACTTTCTCTTCCAAATCTGTCTTTACTTGATCGGGATTTGTCTCGGATACCTCCCCAAAGTTATTAGCACCATTTTTGTAATATTTTGGATGACGCAATTGTGCTTTGAGCATGGACATCTTCTGTCTTTGCATATTTAGATATTGATTTCTTAATTTTTTCCACTCTAGCCTGGAAATTGTTTTAATACAATTAATAATACTTAATATTAATTATTTACATAAAATTAAAATTCAGTAGCTTACTTAGACATTAGTCTTAATTCAGGCAGAGATAAGCTCGAATCGGATTTGATTTTTTTCCCCTTATTGCGCTTTCTCTTTTTTTTTGTAATTGAATCGTCTTTATTACTTTGATTTATTTCGTCTTCACTTGGTATAACTTCATCGTCTGTTTTTTCAACAGTAGAATTATCACTGAAAATAGTTTTTTGAGGACTTTCATTATCACTAACTTCAAATGAAGTATTCTCGTTTTTATTTTCACTCTCCGTAGAACTTTTTTTAGTTTTATCTTTTTTTTTCTTTTTTTTAATACTTTTATTTGGTAAATCAGATTTTCTTTTTTTCTCTTTAACACCACTAAGATCATCAGAATGTTTCCTTTTTTTTGGGGAATTTATGTCATTTCTAGTATCATTTATTTTTTCTTGGCCGTCTTCATTAAACGTGATTATACTCTGTAGTTGTTCCGGTAAAATTTTTGAGTCCTCATGTATTTTTTTGAATTCCTAAAAAAAAAAAGATGTTTAATAAAATTACATTTTTAATTTTTTCAACATTTAAAAAAAAAAATGTAAATTCTAAATTATTAATCATATCAACCAATATCTACAAATTTATTTTGAGAGTAAATAGTATTTGTATGCTGATAATATTATTCAACTTTGGCATTCAGATATATTGGATACATTTAGGTTATCTGTCATATTTATTCAGTATGTCACTGAACTTTTTTATAATAAATGCTTTGCTATCGACATAAATTATAGGTTTACATAATACAAAAGTCAAATCATAATTAAGAACAAATATTGAGTACACTTGAAAAGTACTAAAAATAAGGAAATATCAAGAATATAAAAAGTAGAAATCTGATTAAATTACTTCAAGAATCGTTTTAACTGATTCTTCATTTTCAAATTCTACAAATGCAAATCTTTTTATGTTTCCACTTTTAAATGTAGGCAAAGACACGTAAGCAACTGTTCCATACTTCTCAAATGTTGATTTGACAATACCATGATCAGCTTTAGAAGGCAAATTTTCCTAAAATAATATAATTATTTTATGCAAAAAATATAAATATAATACAAAATTTAATACATCAAGGCAAAAACAAAATCTATGATGTGAATACATTTTAATTTTGAAGTTTTAAAAATAAATCATCGATTTTTATTTAATGTGTTTACATGAAATTATTTTAATTGATACATTAAACTAAATAATGTTTCATTGTTGGCTGTTACGCACTGAAGCGTTTATGTTTCTTATATTTTACTTGTTATACAATTCTTAACAAAAATATAGATACTGTATAATCAAATAATAAGGGAGTGATGTTTGTTTGCAATTATCTCTGAATTATTGAAGTCCTAAGTTTCATAAATCTAAAATATGTAGCCATATTCTATTTTTATATTGTGCATTACTTATACATAATAATAATGAATTTCAACTCAGTGGTGCCGAACACCAGTGTGTGGTGGGATAAATACTCCATTGATTTAACGGATGAGGAGGGTGGTTTATCTATAATTAGTGGAAGGTCATACATTAGGATTAAATATTAATAATATTTGTATGTTATGAGTGAATTTTTTTTGGTGGGTGGAAAATATGTTTTTTCCTAGATGTTAGTGAATGGTTTTTGGCACCATTGTTTCAACTCACTACATAGATAGTGCAGCGATCAATATCTTCTGGCTGTTTTTCTTCAACCGGTTTTATTCTATAGATTTTAGTTTTACATTCGCTAACGGTTAACAATTTTGAACTCTCTATTGCTTTAACTATATCATCAGGACTAGTAGTCAACTTTTTGATTTTATTACAATTAAGAAATGTATCCACATTTATGCCTGAAATTGAAACAAAAATAAAATCATGATTAGTAAATTTATAAACCATATATTATTTTACTTATTAGTATTTAAATTTCAACTTATTAAAGCACTGAGCCTGCAGGTTTGCTCACATGATACTTTAAAATATATTTAAAAACTATTCCAATGGATGAACCGATGTAGCGGTTGCTTTTTTATATAATATGTATATAAGTATAAAATGTCTTGAAGCAAGTCTTTAGATCTGGACAATTATTATAACATAATAATAATTATATTCAGTGCATCAAATATCTAAATGATTTGATTGTTGTATTAACTTATTACTTACTTATTTACAGCCATATTTTATATAATAGATAAATTGATATACATTCATATTATTTTATAAGTTAACAATAGTTATAAAAGGTCAAATCCATTACAAATCCATGTATTGATCATTTTTTTAAATGGGTAACTAATATTCATCCTAATAAATGAAAATAATTTCACAATGAGCACAATTAAATTAATGGTTAAATTTATCCAAAGTAACTGGCCAGGTGAATGTTGCCAATAAACCGATTAAGGCCAAATATTAAAAAACTACTAAACAACATTTGCCCAAAACATAAAATTCAGACTATACTATCATCATATTTTTGCAAGGAGATTAAAGATCGGAAATAATCTTTATTCAAAAGCCAGCAGACTAAAGCATGTTCCATGTTTTATAATTTTAGCTATTAGGCTTTAAGTAGTCTGTAACTTTTTACCTAGTATTTCATTTAATAATGACCATTTTGGGATTAAAATTAACTCTCAAGCTTAGCTATGCCTATGATGTGAAATTTAATGAGTATATATTTAACAAACTAAACAAATGGTAATTTTCTATAGTATACCTTTTACGTTAACACTAAATAATGAATTATTTTAATGTAAAATATATTACACTTATATTTACATTTTAAGTAATTACTTACATTGAGTAGTTTGCATTAGGTGTCCAAATAAACGATCTTTACGTAAATTGGCATCACTCAAATAAAATTCCATTTGTTTTCTTAAATCAATATACAATTGCTTTTTTCGTTTCCGTACTTTATTCGTCGATTTTTTTACATTTTCATCATAGCTTTCTATACTTATATCACTAGATGGCTCCATCCTATAGACATTATTAATATTAACATATTTATGTTTATTAACAATAAAATTAACTGGTGGACAAATTTTGTAGTATTTTATATTTCATAGGCAGTTAACCGATCTTAATATTGTGTAATCACAATAATACTTTATAAGACAAAATTCTACATTTTCCTCATCATAATCAAGAAAATGTTTTATTTTTTTTTGCCCAAGTCTGGACATATGTAACGTCATTCATTTCACAGTGTTCAAGAACCAAGCTGGATAAATCTAGAATCTAATACCAAGTTCGCCAACTCATACCACTAAGCCTATAACGGTGACAAAATTTCAAAACATTTAATTAACCCTCAGGCACCCACACCTTCTCCCACTCGTGTCAATATGCGGCGGTGCTGTCGTGCGGGTGCTCGAGGGTTAAATTAACAAAATAATTTTTAATTAAAAATAAACACTAGGTATTTAAATGAAAAAATATGTTTTAGGTAGTATGCAATACTGATCAGCTCTGAGTTTTGTATAAAGAACGCTTTTATTATTAAATTATATACTTGCTTACTTGTTTATAAAGGCCTAAAAAAAACCGTTAATTCAAGATCACTTCAAAGTATTACGCCAATTACTAATATTCAAGTCAAGCTACGATAAACAACGATTAACGTACTTTATTATTTAAACTAATATAATATACGTTGCCTATAATAAATTACATTGGCCGATGTGCTATGTAGTCAATGATTCGGTAGATATTATAAAAATAAATTACACAATGCTCCTATCTTGTAGTATTTCATTATTCATATCAGAGAATAGATAAAAGCAGAAGGGTCACTCTCAATGTAGACAAAAAATAAACGATCATTTTGTAAAGACATATTTAGTATTATGTGTTATATCTGTTAACACTAAAAATAATAATATATAGATATAACAATATAGTCGTCTAGCCTTAAGAAGATGGCTGCCGCGTTTTTTTGTGATAGGTATCTTCAACGTGTTTATTTTTATCAGTGTCTGGGGCCTGTTCATATCACAATCAGCTATCAGACGGCACACCAACCACCCGGAAAACAGTAACTGTTATCAACTTTTCAAACGAAGAGGCCAAACACCACAAAGTGTTTTATTATCTTATCACAATATCACAATTTATTCTAGCGGCTAACGTGGTAAACGTGTTGTAAATTGTAAGGCATCCATGTGACATGCCCAATATAGAATATAGATATTTTCTATGATATAGATTATATGCTCTGGTCAACTACAGATCTATGTCCCTACCTTATTTTCCTTTAAATTTATCACAGACATAATTTATACAGTGCCAGTGAAAAGTAAAAACTATTTTTATCAATACTTGTCCTACTCTTGAAATTGATGACAGATTTAAATAATGTGGAAATGGATATTACTATTATTTTTAAATCATGACAGTAAGCTAAGGAGGTGACAAGGTTTATGGATGACATTAGTTCTCTTAAAATATATACTCAGACCTCATTACGCTGTATATATAATGTAAATTGTAATAAAGAGGTACTCTCGATGAAGAGAGTGCCTCGATCGAACCCAAATCTAAACGTGGATTGCCGATTGTGCCCAAACAGTAGTGACCACTGTTAAACTATTGCCATTGCTATGAATTTCTTCTTTTTAAAACCGCCGATCTAAGAAAATACATAATTAATATTACAAACAATCCAAAATTAAGTTATTATTTCAGTTATACAGGCGCAAGTCGAGGCCGGAGGTTGTGAGTTGTAACCCCTTTTGCCAATTTACTTATTTTCTTATTATGAAGTATTAACTATGAACCCCGGAACTGATTTGGTTACACAATCATTTTTAATATTCTCCATCTGATTTTTTTTTTGTCCAACACTGATTAGTGATTTTATGTAGACATGTAGTAGATAGATTTGATGCACTGATATCGGTATTTTTATTATGGATCGTAGAACGTGGATCGTCTATATTGGAGAAACGCAACGTTTCAATGTAATAAAAGTATTTACATAGGTAAATAATTTTATTGGCCATTAATATATTGGTCGGTAGTCACAATAAAACCTATACTAAGGTTGAGTCTCAGAAACACATTTATAATTCACAAAGTACCATAAATAACTTATTATCAGCCCATGATAGTCGTTCATACTAATTACAACTTACAAGTAGAATAATTTGTCATTCTTCGAGATTTGTTTTCAATTTTTTTTTAATCATGGCGTAATCATATATTTAAAAAATTGAATTCATTATTATTCGTGGACTTCATATTTTTTTTTTATACGATAAAAATATGAATGAGGTAACCAAGTAGTGAAAAGTAAAAATTCCTTTTTCCGTCATCAGCAGACTGGCTGATAGTGATAACAAACAGGGTAGACGGGTAGACGGTGGACGAAAAATGACAATAGCCCAGCCAAAAATTTTTTTTAGAACAAATAATATGTTCTTGAAGGAAAACATTGTTTGCCAATTTTCTTTGACCGTTTGTTACAATTATTTTATCATTTATGGTGCTTAATAAATATCCGTTAGTTTGGAAAAATTACCCTGGGAAAACCGAAAGAAATGACACTTGACTTTCCCTCATGGATACTGTAAACTTAACTCGTATTTGACCTATAAAATACATACAGGCAATCATCAAAGGTAAATAAAGTTAAAATGTTAATAAACATTTTCGCTTGTACATAATTGTTCAGTTTTATACAGGTATTACTATGAAAGTAGTAGCGTTAATCAGCGGTGGCAAAGACAGCTGCTACAACATGATGCAGTGCATCGCAGCTGGCCATGACATTGTGGCATTGGCTAATCTAAAACCACACAGTAAGGGTACGTATAAAGAATAAATTGCTTAGTCTTTTAGTTATATTTAAACCTTAATCTTTAATTGACTTGACAGATGAATTAGATAGTTATATGTACCAAAGTGTTGGCCATCAAGCTGTTGAATTATATGCTGAAGCGATGGGATTACCATTGTTTAGGCAGCAAACGAATGGTGTTGCACTACAGCAAGAAAAAATATATACTCGAACACCCGAGGATGAAGTTGAAGATTTGTTTGACCTCCTTGCAAACATTAAAGTAAATTATTTGAACTGCTTCATATCATATTAAAAATTAATAATTTTGTAAAATTATAATGTTTTAAAGAAACAAATTGATTATGATGCTGTGGCAGTTGGCGCTATTCTTTCTGATTACCAACGATTACGTGTAGAAGATGTGTAAGCATATATATATATATATATATATATATTATATTATAATTACCGATGTCTTTAAAGTAATATATTTCTTTAAATATTACTACATAATAATAATAACACATTTTAGGTGTTCAAGATTAGGGATATGCTCGTTATCTTACTTATGGCGTCGAGATCAAAAGGAATTGTTACAAGAGATGATTGATTGTAATATAGAAGCAATTGTCATTAAAGTAGCAGCTCTTGGATTAGATCCTACTAAACATTTGGGCTTACGAATTGATAAATTAATGCCTCATTTAGTTAAAATGGTAATTATGAAACATTAACTATTTGATTATGTTAATTTGTATTGGACTCCTTATTAATGCATGTATTGACATTTTAGCTAAAAAAACGATATTAGTATACAATTTCATGGCGATAACTATTAGGGAATGTCACTTTCTTTGCCAATTTAGCAATTGCTGCAACAAATAAAATCTTTATATGTATGCTATATTAAAGTTTGAATTTCAATATATAGTCAATTATATTTATACTTAAATACCGGTTTTTTAGCAATAGTATTTTATCAGTTGTATAACATTAAGTATTTATCAAGTAATTAAAAAAAAATACTGTTTATTTCATAATTTCCATATTATAATACAAAAGTTTATGAACCTATTGGAAATTTTTGAGCGATGTTTTGTGGGATCTGAATCTATAGTATTGAGTGAAACGTTTATGACATGGTGGAAATGAAATGGGACAATTCCGTTTTCTCCTTGACTTTTATATTGGTTTCCAGAATGAAAAATATGGCTTAAATATATGTGGAGAAGGTGGAGAATACGAAACGTTCACTCTTGACTGCCCTTTGTTCACCAAATCGGTGATCATGTAAGTATATAAATAATTCCATATCATACATACGCTAAAATAAACATTAAAAAATATATATATTTATATATTTGATTTGTTACAAGTATGTCTCAGCGGTACAAATTATTATATTATAATTTATGTATAATATATATCATATGATTTAAAACATAATAGACAATAAATTGATAATATATAATTTGATAATTGATAATATTATATTGTTTTAGAAAATAAAAAAGTTTAGCATGATATTAGCCGGTGTTTGTTAAATTATTAAAAATGTTGGCACATGGTATATGATTTTGTTCATGTAAAAATTAAATTGAGTTTATGTTTTATAGATTGTTTTTTGTTAACTTCATTAAATTAATATTTTTTCAAAACAATTCTTAGGTAAATAAATAAGATATAACTCTTTGATAGTACCAAATTCTATTTGTGGTGTATAGGTTACAATGATTTATAATATTTATAAATGATTCAACTGCATGGTTGCAGAGGAATTATGATCACAGACATATAGTAAAAGTTCTATCTAAGTGTATAAAAAAATACAATAATAAAAGAATATTCATTTCAATTTATATTATAATTTAGTCATGGGAATCCGAAAATCTGAATTTTTCAAAAAAGCGCTATTTAAGCCACTTGAAATTCTTATAAATATAAAATACTATTACAATATAAAGATGTGTACCTAAGTAAAATTTGTTGATAAAAATTTAAAAAAAAAACTTATTTGTCTATAAAATGCTTTCGAATTTTATATTTCAACAAATCCGAAATCCAAAAGCACTTTATCTTTTTGGTGTTTTGTTTTTATATATTAATTTAAAAAAATGTACATGGTACACAGCTTTATATTGTAAAATTATTTAATACTTATGTGGTTTTTAAGTAGCTTAAATATCAGTTTTTTGTGAAAATCCGGATTTCAGGATTCCCATCACTAATTATAATATGTTTTTATTGTTAATGCTAAAACGCTAAACATGAACTCTTCAAAGTTTAATATATTATTCTATAGTACCTTAGATGTGATTTTTTTATATTTTTTTCAGTGAAGAATTTGAAACAGTAATGCATACAAACGATACTATTGCACCTGTTGGATATATAAATTTCAAGAAATTTTGTTTGTTGAAAAAACCTGTTCGTAAAAAATGTTGCTTAATTATCAAACCAATTTATTACATATATAAATTTTATTTATCTTTTGTTCTTTCTCAACTATAGAATGTCGATGAAAACCAGAGTTTTCATGATCGTTTGGCAGGCTATCCTGTCCGTAGTCCTTTGGCACATTTGATGGATTTGGATGATTTAGAAATTGACCTTGGGACTGTTAACGACAGTGATAGTTTAGAGGACGATGTTGCAGATAATAATAGCATCATTATTGATCACATCGATGGCCAGCTAAATACTGGAGAAATCGTAGAAACAGACTCTGTGTCTTGCATTGGATATCCGAGTGGATGGACTTGGATAAACTCGTTAGTTGGTCATTGGGTTGAAGACAAATGCCCTATTGTAGTCGTTTTAGAAAAATTAAGAGGTTAGACTATTATAGCTTTAATTATTTATACTATTAAAGTTTTTATTTTTGGTTGTATTTTCGTTTAGATATATTGCAGGAAAGGAACTTGGAGTTATCTGATGTAGTTGCTGTGACCTTATACGTACATGATATGACAGAGTTTCTGAATCTGAATGCTCTATATGCATCAATAATGTGTAGAGTGAGTCCTCCAGTAAGAGTTTGTGTTGAAATACCATTATCAGAGAGAACTCCTATTCTAATGGATGTTGTAGCGTATAAGCCACCATTAAAAACTTCTTCAAACTCTAATCTCCCTGCAGTTACCAAACATACCATGCATGTACAAAGTATATCTCATTGGGCACCTGCAAACATTGGACCCTATAGTCAAGCCATAAGAGTCAGTAAAATAATTAAAACATATTTGCTATTTTTTTATTATTATTATAAGTAAAATTTTGTACTTTTAGGTTGGGGATATCATTTATGTGGCTGGACAAATAGCTTTAGTGCCAGGAACGCTAAGCATTGTTGGAGGCGGAATCCAGAGGCAGTGTAGACTCTCATTACGTCATGTAAGCAGAATTATAAAGGCTGTTGATCCCAACACACAACTCAGAGATGTTGTTCAGGTAATATATTTATATAAATATAATTTATGTATAAAGTAAACATACCAAAAGAAGGAAAAAGGCTATAACTAACAATAACTATTGGCTTTACTACCTACTAAATTATAATTTAGTCGAAGAATATTATGATTATTCTTAATTCTTATTGCACCCCTTTATCTAGACATTTTATAATGCTTTAAAAAAAGAAGAGTTTAAAACATTTTAACTCTTTGTGGCATGGCAGTTAGCTACATTGACCACCAATTTTTTTCATTTATTGCGTGGTGGTTAGAATACAACTTCTTACTAGTACACAATTTTCAACTTCAAGTTAAATACTTTTTATATCGTAATTATATTTATTCAATCATTAATTTTTACATGCTTTTCTTTAGCTCGGTAATACGTACATTTGTACGGGTATTCTTCAAATCTTGCAAAATTAATTTAACCCACTTCCCGATGTCGTATATGGCTGAAACTTGGCACAGACACTCATCTTAGATGACAATACAATATCCTGTAATCATATTGGGACTCTGACATCCAGGTCGCCCTACACAGGATCAAATGTTATTTCATTAAAATTTCATTTTTTTCCAAATCTTCCAAAATTAATTTAGTAATCTATTAATCAGTTATTTAAAAACCTTTAATAGAACTAAAAAGTAAAAAAATAAAAACTTTTAAAAACATTCTTTTCTAAAAAAAAAAAAAAATAGTATAAAGTGAACTAAAAAGTAAAAAATAATTTGATTACAAGAACAATTTACCAATCCTAACCAACCTATACCAACCCTAATACATTTATCAGATAATGTTTTATATTGTAAGTTCTTTTCTAATTTAAATTTAGTTTAATATTTGTGTGTGACACATACATTTGATAATACATAACTCAATGAATTTGGACTTTGTTGCATAGGGCCCACACTTTTCTTTTTAGTCAAAAATTAAAGATGTTTAACATTATTTAAAATTGTAGTTAATTTTCAGTTGTTTTCAAAGTAATTGACATTTTAAATAAAATATGCTACGATTGGTAAATTGTTCTTGTAATAAAATTATTTTTTACTTTTTAGTTCACTTTTTACTATTTTTTTTTTTTTTTAGAAAAGAATGTTTTTAAAAAAGTTTTTTAAATTTATTTATTTTTGTTTATTGGCAATAGAATATTGATGATAGTCATAGACAATGTTTATTTTTAATAGGTAGCCTTACTTGTTATTTGATCAAAATGATATGGTATTATCCATATATTATAATATCAGTGCAATATTTTTATTATTGTGATAAATCGACTGCAACATTTTAACAGGATACCTAACCTAAAAATGTTTTATTTCAGGGAATTTGTTATGTTACAAACAGCAAGTATATTCACGCAGCAAGAACAGAGTGGGAGAAGCGTACAAATAATGCTATTGTTGATTATGTAGTAGTTACACGGCTTCCTAAAGATGCGATTGTAGAATGGCACTTGTGGGCACATAAGCACAATTCTAGGTTTGAGTGTAAGTTAATTTTAAATTAAGCATGTGACTCACATCATATTTTGGTCTTGGATATTATATTTATTGAAGTCAGGTCTATAGAAATGTCATGGTACCTTAAATAAAAAGAGTTTTCACAAAAACAGATTGGAAGTATTAGTAAATAGAGTTTAAAAAAACGTGTTACTTTATTTGTTTCCAGTTACTAAGTATTCTACATTAGAAGTATAGCAGCTAGATCAGCTTTGGTAGATAAATATTCAATTTTCCCCCACCAATCTTGACCAAGTCACCTCATTATATGGAGATTTGTGGAGAGAAACTATTAGGCTGGGTTACCCTATTAATATGAAATAAGATAAAGTTCAGAACTCTTTAAGTAAATCAATTTTTAACTGAGTTAATGCTTACAGATGAAGAGACTGGTTGTTGTGTTGACAATTACAGGGTGTCAATACGCCGTCGTTGGAATTATGAAAATAATGTTGCTGCAATAGTTACATATATATCATCTGGTAAATATTACTGTAGTCAATTAGTAACACTAATAAACTTACTTAAATTATTTACGTCCTGTAAGGTTCTTGTACTTCATTATCAGCCATTAATGATACTCCAGATACGTCTACAGAAACTATATCGGCTACAGGCTTGGAAGAGGCATTTCGGTATTCTTTAAAACGACTTCTTCGAGGAGAGCCAACTTCAACACCAACTGATGCTATATGTTCTTTACGAATATTTTATAAAGTATCTCGCGAGCAAAAACCTGTTTGTAGACAACTCATTAACACCACACTAAATACCCTTAAGACAGAGTTCCGGATTGTCGCAACAGTTGTACCCGTTTTACATTTGCACCACCCCAATACATTTGTATCTGTCTGTGCACTGAGACACAATACTTAAGTTGTAATGCCTTTATTCCGACCAAATAGCACTCACCTATTGTAGTTAGAAACATTCATTATGTTTAGTGGTTCATTATTAACATTTTAAAATAATTATAGCTTCAGCTTTTAAATGATTACTTAGTTGTCATATGGCTGTAAAATACTAAAATGTACAATTTTATTCTAAAAATTTCAGTTTACAATAGAAAAATATAAATTTCAATATATCAATTATAAAACAGTCCGTCCGATGTTCATTTTTAGTTTTTTTTAAGTGTGCTTTACCAAAAACGATTTATTTGCTCAAAAACAATTTTGTTTTAAGAAAACTACTTTATAATACCAAATTATCAAACTAAAAAAGGTGTGCAAAATTTAAAGTGGCTTTCTAGTTTGTATTTTTCTCAAATGTACTTTTTAAAATATTGTGTGAATATATACCATTATTTTAATAACCTTAATGGTACTAAATTATTTAATGTTCAATTTTATCTTTCACTATTTAAACAAAGGTTGCGCTGTGGATATTTATTTATTATTATGTTGTAAACTTGATATGAAATGCCATTAAAAATAAGTATTACATTTAATTCAGAAATTTTAAATTGTTTAAACTTTATAAAGCAAAAACATTTATGTGGTTATTACAGTATATTATATTAGTTATTAAAGAATTTAAAAAATATCTATTATAATTTGTTTTTTTATCATATTTTCACTTTTGACGCATCTACAGTTTTAAACAGTATATCTTTAAAGAGTAATGATAATGAACATAACACTTGCGTTAGACACTCAATGTGGAAAAATCAAATGATAGCTTGCAGCATCATTTTTTAAGTAAATGAGTAGAATTTATTTTTTATATTTATATTTTATGAATAGCAGAGGCCGTTTAAATAAAAAGAATCAGGAAAATAATATTTTAGTTTTTATCCTAACTAGCCAATAGCTCAGAAATAATTCATTTAAGAACCAGAGTATTGGATTAAAAGCATCTTTAAAATAATATTCATTGTACTTATGAGTTTGATGGTAATTTAGTATTACTGATGATAACCAGTGCTGATATAATTTGTTTATTATATTTATCAAACATAAGTAGTATATCAATTGAAAATATATATTTTGTGTAAGTATACAAATTTAATAACAATAGGTAAAACTATTTAATAAATTAATTTACATCAATGAATGAGGAATAAAATTATGTTGAAAATGGACATTAAAAAGACAAACATACATTTTTAATGATCAAGATGTACATTAAATTAAAGTATTCAATAAAAAATTATGTTAAACATTTAGGTAATTAATTGAAATGACAATTTTATATGTTCAAAATAAATAAGATAAACATCACATATTTTATAATTTATGTATATGTTTAAAATTTAATTGTATAAAAGTTTGAACAGTATTTAATATTTAGAAAATTAAACAATTTCACATTAGTACCAATTGCAATTGGCCTTTTGGAGCACAACAAATAATTTTGTGGACTGATATAAAAAAAACAATATAAAAATATTTTTATACAAAGACTAGGAAACATGTTACTGATAGGAAGACCAGCCATTTTTAATAAAATATAATTTTTATTTACTAATTAAAACAAATTTGAATCAAATGAAAATAATTATTGACTAAACATTAAATAAGTAGTAGGACTCATTCTTTGAACTATAACAAATAATAATAACTACAGTGGAAGGACATTTCATGTTCTAACAAATAGTTTTTTGAAAAGTAAGAATGATTATAAATAACTTTTTGGTTCATAGTCTTTCAACTGTTAATTTTAAAATCACAAGTGTCACCTTGACTTATTTAAAGTTTTTATTTTTAATTATCACATTATCAACTTATAAGTATTAATTAAACATGCATATGAAATTACATTAATGAAAATATTTATTATACATTTGTTATGACGATATTTTTTTTAAACAAAAATTTGTACTATTTTGACTCAATTATCTTTTTTAGTGTCTGTTATAAGAGCCAATCGAGACTTACCAATTTTATTAGAAATATTTATTGAAGATGAATTCATTTGTCCTACTTGATTGGATGGTAAAGCTCGTAATAACAAAATCTGTGTCTTAATTGTAGATTTCATTATCAGATAATTGTTATAAACTAAACATGCTAAATTTTCTGCTATCTCTACCAATGATTCGTATTCATTTGGCACCATACAATTACATGAAGACTCAAAGAAACTGAAAAGTGGAAACCAAATTCGTGTTCGACACAAATCAACATTATTATTTAACGCTTGATTGTTGGCCAAAGTATGGTAGTAAAGGAAGAGCCGTGATGTAATATAAAACGCTATGAATACATCAATTGAGTAGTGTTCATGACCAGACAGTATAAAAAATATACCAAACATGTTTAATAACCAGCTGAATGTATGCAGCAAATATATATCTCTTGGAGTATCTACGGAGGAAAAAAGTAAAACTTAAATTAATTTTTACCATAGATTAATATACAACACATGTGTAAAACAGATAATCATAATCTCTGACCCCATCTCAGCAAAAGTTACTAGATAAAATAGTAATTAAATTATAATAAAGGAAATATTTATAGATAGGTATCCAGTTGTATATATTCTTTAGATTATCTGTCAACATTCAACACATTGTTACACGTGTATTATTTATACAGGGTGATTCATTTATCATGAATCAGTATCTCACTGGGTTTAATTAATAATTTAATTTTTTTTCATATTTTTTTTATACAATTTGATCTCAATTTTTCACAATTTTTTTTGTTTTTACGCCCCTCTCAACTTAGATTTTTTGATAGCAACTTTTGAAACTTAAATGGTAACATATATATTTTATTACCTTTTTAAATAGAGAATAATGTATTACAAATTTTGTTAGGATGGGAGGGGAAGTGCGGTTGGGAAATGTGTGCAGATAAAAATAATACTACACTCCACTTCTCCTCCCATCCTAACTTTTAAACTCTTATAACCTAAAAAACAGTTATCCGAAACTGGTTATTGACCAGTCAAAACTTGTAATACATTATTCTCTATTTAAAAAGGTAACAAAATAAAAATAAATAAATAAAAAACGATACAAAAACAATACGAAACAATAAAATAAAAAACATTACCATTTAAGTTTCAAAAGTTGCTATCAAAAAATCCAAGTTGGAAGGGGTGTAAAAACAAAAAAAATTGAAATCACATTGTATAAAAACAATATGAAAAAAAAAAAATTTAATTATTAATTAAACCCAGTGAGATATTGACTGGTTCATGATAAAAGAATCACCCTGTATATATACACACACACATATACATACATGTAATACACATAGGTATAGTATAAACGAGCATTGACCTATCACTTAACAAGAGTGTGTGTGTAAAGGTAGGAATCTATTTAGCAGTGAGTAAAAAGCTAATCTAATACTTTTCCAATAAAATACTATGCCTTACTACATTACACGGGTCAATAAAATTACTGTTCCAAAACATACTTACATTCTGTAATAAAAAAATTTAGCATAGTCAATGCCACAGTGTGCCCACTAAACATGTAGTCTCCGCAAGTACGAACTCCTTGTATTGACATACCAGCTCCTCTCCAAATTACATAAGCCTGTTGCATTTTATAAATCATTTCACCCACAAAGTTTCCATCTAAAACCATAAAAAATGTTCAACATCATAATGTTATCATAAAGTTCTTTAATAAAACCCTAATTAAGGTGTAGTAGAGATAAATTACAATAAGATCACACAATGTCTTACATTTTCAAACACAAAATAATTAGTTTGTTGTGTATTTAATGGCATAGTGCACATGTGTTGTATCATATAATATATTAAAAACAAGTTAGTTAATAATAGCATATATCTCAAACTTACCATCTAAATATGCAGGTTTGGTACGAGGAGTACATTCTAAGTGTGTGCCTGGTACGGACAAAGAAGTAATAATCATTGTGATACATCTCAATAAGAAGACTGTTCCACACAGAGCGAAAAAACGTCTCAATAAAATAAAACGATGTTTATGGAAGAGTAAGACTGTAAGCCAAACAAAACACAGTACAGTACCCGTCAACTCGCACATATGAAATGCCCATGATATATAGGGTACATTATCGAGAAATATATCAGGTAATGGAGGATATTTCTTCATATCGGGTACACGATCATGAACGATTACCATAACAAAAGCTGTAATCCAGGTAACAGTAAAAAGATAAGCCATTGCAATCAAAGTTTTCCATATCTGCAAAATAATAAATTCTAATAAAAAATGTGGTAACTAAATTATTTTAAATGGCACAAAACAACTATTTTGTCAAACAAATTAAAAATAACAAAACAAAATTCTGTAAAATATAATGTAAAATAAGAATTAGAAATACTTCCAATCAGCTGAATTCTGCATCTACTTTTTGGTGTACAGAGAACAACTTTAAACGCATTTATTTATTAAAACAATATAATATTTTCACTTAACTTCAATTGAAAGTGGTACTTTTTTATTAAAATAATAGTAGGGCCGAATCTAGTCTAGGCAATAGCCATAAATCATATCATTAAGTCATTCATAGCGCCACTGGCCAATGGTTAGGTTGGCAGAGAAATTTTTTTTTCTCAATTTTTTTTATATGTAAGCATACTATAAAACAAAAACGTAGTTAATTAAGGAGTGCGATTTTGGCGATTATTGACAAAACTCTTTTGTTATTACTTTAACCTTACCATTATGAACTGTGCATCAGTATATAAATAGGACCTATTAACATATTACACCGTTGACGATTCTAACGACCCTAATCTGAACACAACCAAACTCAATGTTCCGGTTAAACAGCCAAATAATCAGACATTGAAAATAAATTAAAAACCTGAACTATATTTTATTAATTTGTAACTGAAACTTGTATAAATAAATTGTTTTGGTTACAAGCCTAGTAGAATATTTAATTATTTCAGTTATAAATTAATTTATAATTATTATAATATACGATTTATAGTATATGAAATGTGATAGTAAACGTCAATTTATTATGCCGGTTTGCCTTGGGCGATGAGTCAGATTAAATCCAAATAAGTTTTATAAATTATACTTAATTAAAAAAGTATTAAACATACATTTTTAGAACAATTTTATTATTTATTCTCGGTCGTTGACTTTTTATATTGAATAATAAGTAGTAATACAAATCATTATCGCGAAGTACCTAACCATGAATAATTGTGTCTAACAGCCTTCAAGTGTCATCAAATCTCTCAAATCTCTAGACACTAAACAGATGGGGTGGGTTTGGATCGTTATTTTTTATTCAAATCCATTTCTATAAAATATCTTTTTTAAAAACTATTGAGAACGCGTTTCACGTTTCTGTTTGGATTTTTATGTTTCTTAAGAAAAAATTACGCTGGCAGGGGTCTTAAACTTAAGACCCTCAACAACATTGATAAAAAGCTAATATATAAAAACGTTTAAATTTGTTTTTGTACTTTCATTTATACTGTCCACCCACACACCTCTAAGTAATTAGCAGGGTTATTCATATAGGTTGGACAACGTTTTAGTTTACATCCACGTTTTACTTTAGTGATAATTTGTACCTTGCATCGGTCGCGTGGTTTAATAACACACGAATAGTCGCGCATCTACATATGTAGAACATTTACAATTACAATTTGTTATTACTATATAAATAAATTATTTGACTACATTATTGAATTCTCCTATTTAATGTATATTTTTTAATATATTTTTACAATACTATGTATTAGTTTAATACATGTCCAAAGGACCTGTTTCAAGTTAAAGGGAGAAGAAAAAATAAATTTATTATCACTGTACTATAATGGCAGAACGCGGGACTGATGTAGAGTTTACATCTAACAGTAGTTGACATACATAAATAAATGTGAGTTAAGTATAAGTCACGTAATTTGACACAGTCAATACAAAAGATAATATGATTTTAACAACCTAACTTATACTTCGCAATCACTCCCCCCTCCCTAAATTTTTTTTACAAACCTAATTTTTAATTAGTTAGTTTAGTGTTTTTACTCCTAGGTACACTCCCGCGAACTTAACTGGCATAGTACTATTTGAAAATTCCACCCCTAAGGGTGGCCTCAAACATGAACCTTGTGCTTTAAATACGAAATATTTTCCGTTGCTAACCCAAAATAAACACTTGGTTTGTAACCATGGTAAACCACGCTACTCGAGCGAATGGTAGGTGATGATTAAAGGAACAGGCCCATTCTATGTACCACGATTCTGGGCAAGCTTTTAACTGTTGGGACGGGATCTGGGACTGGGGCTGGGCCCTTGAGTAAGAAGAGGACATAATAATCGAAAAAAGTGTCACAAAAACGCTGTCACGCTGTTATCTGATAAGAAATCAAGGATGGGGGTAGGAATGGGTGAATGGGAATTATTTTACTCAGCCCTGGCAAACTAAATCTTGGGCAACGCCGGATTGGTACAGCTTGTACTAAATAAAAAATAATAATTTATATAAAAAAAAAATAATAAGTAATACAATTTTTTTTGGTTATCAAAATTATAGCTTTAATATTCAAAACACGTTTAAACTTAAGTTATTAACAAATTATCGAACAAGTATAACTATCATTATATTAAGGGGGGGAAACAAACGATTAAAATAAAAATAACAACCGGTTGAGTTCAGTAATAAAGCTAATAAGCAGGTTCGTAAAGTATATGACGGGCAACAATCTCTAAAATATTCTAACGGTATTACATTGGTCAAAATGACGTGTTGCAGCAACTCGGATAGATTCCCGATGATATCACGCAATACCTTACATTAAAAAAATACCTTCACTGAATAAGACGTGTAATCTACCAACAAAATAATACATTATGCTAAGACCTATAGATTTTTATTATTCTTACAAAGAAGCTATAAAAAAAAATAAACTACTAAAGTATTTAGCAGAAGGGAACATAAATGAAATAAAAAATGATCACAAATTCTAATAGATTATACTCATTTTTCTGGCGTAAGGCAAAATTGACTACGCTCACACAAAACGTTTATGTTTGGAATCCATAAAAATCTATTATGAAACATTATTATAGACCGACCAAAACGAAATTAGCGTAGCTACGTTTGGTAAAAAATAATTATGACAAACATTGTTAATGAACTCTATGGTAGTTTGATAACAACTAATTAACTAAAAACAAAAAATCTTAATTACTATAAATAAATAAATGTACACAACAGTTTTAACTTTAGCCCAAGATTTTTCGAAAAATCCTTTTCATTGAACTCCGAAATAAATAAGTGATATAACGTCCTTTTAAATATGGCTGGGTTCATAAGCAATTTGGTTTAATAACTTATTATAGTTAAATTGATGAAGTATCACGGATAACAAAAAACATAAAACAATTAGGTGGATACGATAGGGTTGATCGTCTGTCTATAGACTATAATAATGTGTTACCATAATAACCATACATTGTATTATAATGAAAATCTTTTTAAATACCTGCCGACTGTTGATTTACTCACACATATTCAGCGACCTAGAAATTAACTACAATCAAAGTGTAGTTTTCTTTTTTTTTAATAAAAAAAAAAAAAAAATTGACTACAGATTTGAGTAAATGGTATAAGTTTTAGATCTGCCTTCAGTATAATTTTCAGACTTTAAGCCTTAAAACTTCGCTTAAAAAGCGTAATAAAGAAAAAGTTTCCACTCCACTAATTTGGAAATAATTTGACTATTTTTAAATGAGTTGTAAAATAAATAGCACTAATATAAAAATATGTACATTTTTTTAGTGTTTCTCGATTTTGAAAGTGAAGGAGCTAACTTTTTACATTTTTGGTCCACTAAAGTAACTTTTAGGTACATTATCTGATCTATAGAGTTTTATCCATAAATGACAACTCTGAGATAAATGACTGTATATTGCACTCATAATAGATAGACCTACTTAAACTCAGTAATTAGTTTATTTACTAATTCTATATTCACATCAAATTAACGGATCGTTACTACAAAGGCCCAATTATTGCTATAGACTTCAATTTAATTGACTGCGTTGTGCTTAGATACTCTTGCAATGTGGCTTTGCACACTTATAGCAATGTAATAGTATGTAAAATCATGGATAATTATGAATTATCTCACTTTATTAAAATTTTCAAATGTTACTCATTGTGGAAGTGGATTTGGAAACGCGAATATTTACACTTTAAATAATCAGTTTGTGCATACGGCCTACTCGTGGGTCCACAATTACATCAGTGGTGTTAATTTATATTATTTAACCGGCAAACGCCACAATGTTGTTTTTATTAATAATCTATTATAAGCTACGTGTTAGTTTGTTGAACGTGTCATGTAGCAAAATAATCGCTAACGAGATAAATAGTAATTATGTTGAAATATAATATATTTGCATTGACTAATGAGTCATATCTTGGTTTTATCAGCATTAGACTTCAAACTAAATTGTTTCCCAAAATCCGTTTCTATTGGACTATATATTTTGTTACGATTGTCATACCGAGTACCGACACTACTAGATTTACTCAGAAACAAAATTTAGTTATACGTCAAAAGATATTTATTCGTATGGCAAAAGGATATAGCAGATAGATATCATTAATGCATGCTAGTCGTAATTAATTGTTCTTGACCTTACACTAAACAACGAATGACCATAAATTATATATTTTTAATGCCGCCAAATGCATTTTTTGTTTTATCCATGGAAATAAGTGAATACATGAATCAAATTTTTTAAGCACTCAGGAACCCTGGAAAGTGTATTAGTTTCTTCTCTAAACATCTTCATGGATTTAATATGCCAACTACTAGTGCGCTATAATAGAATAGAGTATGCTGTATGACAATATATTATGTTTTGCATTCTTTTACTAGGCAATTATTATAGTTATATACGGCATTCTACTATGAAATCCAGATTTACATTTTATAGGAATCCTGTCAATAAAGAGCACATTGTGCTGTTAGCTCACAATGAATATTTTGCTACTACTACACTATTTTAATTAACGTTTTAAGTTCAAAATTACATTTTATATTATTACTATATTGTTTACTGGCGCGTACTCGTAGGGGCTTAAAATTCCACGTGAATATGTGCTTAATAATAATTATCAACGCAAAGGATAGTCTATTTAGTCGGCCTATAAATAATAATTTATATTTAACACAAATTGCTAATAGCTTATTAAGCCGTCTGCTAAAAAATATCATAGATTATGCTAGTCCAATTATTACACATAACAATACGTTTAAAAAAAAATCGACCTTATGATGGTTTTAAAAAAGTAGTCAACAATTATTAATATTTTTTTCATAATTATATATTTTCAAACTATTTTTAAAAATGTCTTAATTCAAGCTGTGCGTGCACGTTCTGAGTATGCTCGAGTTAAAGAAATTTCTAAGTATGATTTGGAGTAGTCAATATTTTTTCTCACAAATGTATGTCAAAGAGAACACTTTTATAACTTATTCGATTTTTTAAGATTTCTTTAAAATATTTAAGATCATTAATAAAATAAAACAACATAATATTACAGAAGACAAAAATTACGGATTTTGTGTAGAAGTTCTAAATTATTATTAAACATTATTAATTTTATTATTTTATTTTCAAGAGCTTTTTAGAGATTATTAAAATTTAATATTTATTCCTTTATAACAAAAAGAAAAAGTGCTATCTCTAAGTAAAAGTTAACCAATATTGTTGTTAGAGCCCTATTTGTTAGATACCTCAATTTTTAGTGTTTGCATACAAAACAATTAATGCCGATACATGTGTGCACACAGTCATGGGCATAATTTGGGGGGAGCTTAAGCGTGCTTAGCACCCTAGTTTTTAAACTAGCAATTCAAAATTGTATACCTTGCATACCATTAGTAGTGTGGAGAGGGGACTTTTTAATATTTTTCAGTGCTTAATTACACCCACTTATTTTAGCGATATTGCGCCCATTCACATACTACACAGTCCTATGATTGGAATTACTAAAATAGATAAATTAGAAACGAATAGAAGAGACCAGAGGGGTATGTCATAATAGATAATAACAGCTTATTGTTATATAAATAATAATTATTACACGGGTTCTCAATGTGGGTACATGATTTTCAAGCACACAATAGAATAACGTAAACTTAATATCACGATAGATGCATATTGTATTTATGATGCCAATGTACCGGCATAATCAAATAATTAAGAATTTCACTTAATTTTATTTATAACTCAAATGATTAAGTATCTGCTGATATCAATACTGCTGTAATCCTACTATTAATTTTTACAAGTTTCTTTTATCGACTATTAAGAGCGTAGCATGCGCAGCCTTAAATCGCATAGTAATGCATTATGCAGTCAATTAAAACAGATCTTTTAACAATAATTGAGCGCTTTACGATGTAAGAAAGGTAAATAAAATTTGTGATGGGACACGGTGGAGTAAATGACCCATTAGATTACTCAATTATGTTCCCATTAATACCACACTTATAATTTAAAAATTAACTGTTTCATATTAAATAATAATAGAAAATTGGAACATTTTATATTATACTAACATATAATAAAAACATGTAGAACATTTGTAAAGGTAACCTTATCAAAAAAAGACCATTATTCATAAGCTAATTCAGACTCCCTATTCTTTTTTGGCCCTTTTTAAACAATATTATTGACCCTTTCTGAAGCCTAAGGGTATGCGGTTGCATAATCTGCATACCCTGTGCACACGTCTATGATTAAAAATTACACTATGATACCAAAGCTTAGTTATGGTATACTAGTAAACCTTAGGATAGGTGATGCACTGCTCAGCTATTTTGGCCTGTATAGTGGCAAAATACGAGCACCGACTAAAAGGATAACTGCTATAATTAGTACTTCAAATAGTACAGTAACTATACTCTGTTCAAAATATTAAACGACTTCAGCGGCTACCTGAAAACCGGTTTTTTTTGTGGCTTTCAGATAGCCGCCAAGGTCGCTTCTTATTTTGAACCGAGTATAGCACCTTACAGATTGAAACCTGTAAACTAACAAAGTGCAGATTGAACCCTACTGTCATTTATAGTTTTTTTCATTTAAATCTTGTGTGCTCATTTATAATTATTAAGTTACTGAGATTAGGTATATTCTATTTTAAGTATTAAGCTAAATTCAAAAACAAATTTCTCCATAAACAAGGAGCTTTAACAAAAGCATCAAATGGGTAAATCTGCTCGCCAATTTTTTGTCTAGTTATATTTGTCAAAAGCTTATTTTAAATTAGTAACTCAACTACTATATCTTTCTCTTGAAGTTTAAGGTTATGAATATTAAAACAATTTATGAAACATCTTTCAGACTAATAGTTAGTATGAGCTATCTTGTCAGTACATGGCATTTTAAAATAAATATGTACTTAGTGTAAACCTAATCTTTAGATAAAAAATAATTAATATTACCTCTGGTTTTAATCTTCTATCATCTTCAAATTCTGAACTATGAGAGGAAGTGGCTGTCACATCTGATCCATGGTTCATGTGAATGTCATCATAAAAATTAAATGCCTAAAATTTGCAACATTATAAGTGCTAAAGGATAAAAATTTTGTTTTATAATTTAATTTGTATTTCATTCATAAACGGAAAAAATGCATACTTCTAAGTGATAAGTATGATTGTTATTTCTATGAATAACCATTCATTTGAAACAGATACTAAATTGTTTCTGATAACGTATAAATTACAAATTAATCATAGTTTTATCCTTTTACACTTTGAACAATTGAAAATTCACTTTGAAGATATTTTATGATTATCATAAATAAAACGGATATTATAAAATTGTGGATACGGCCATTCATAATTTTCCACATGCCATTTTATTAATAACTTGAAAAATACTCACATCTGGACGGAACTGAGTGCCACATCCATTTGTGCTACCAACAGGTTTTGAAAGTAAAGATATCGGATCAAATCCAAGCTGTAGTAATGTTTGGCGATTTTCGACTTTCAACTGGCGAATATCTAACATTAAGCGTTTTATGTCACCCAAGACCTTGAAAATATAAAATAAAACATTATCAATAACAATTTTAGTATTAATAATAAAAATGACATACATTAATACTGATTGGAGGTGATTTTAAATCAGCCTCGTTAATGAGTAATAAGGATCGGCCATCTATGCAATGTTCTTCTGCAAGAAGATGAGAATATTTGCTGTGACCTTTTCTAACCAACCATTCTGACACTTCATGAGGTGTCCAATTAATGACAGGACTCATTTTTTCACCTGACAATTAATGATTCTTTTCGATGAACATTTTATTTCAAAACGATTTTTTTTAACGATGCATAAAACAAAACATTACAATAATTATGAATGTTTCTTCATTATGCACTTATAAGAAGTTTTAAATAACAGTCACCAAGACAAAAAAACATTTTGTAATTTGTGACGAACTACTCTGAAGGTTTAAGACGATTTTGATTTAATAATGGACAATACAATAGTGAGATAACGACACACGATAACACTAGTGGAGATACCAAAGGAAAACTGAAGTCGGAAATGTCAAATGAGTACACACTTACTGAGTACTGACCACAGAATAGATAACAGCAGAAGGGTCACTCTGTGTAAACAAAAAAGTGACGACCATTTTGAAAAGATCTAATTAGTATTATGTGTTATATCTATTCACAACTACACACCATTATAAACATAATAATGGTAAGATTAAAGATATAACAGTTTGGTGTTGTAGCCTTAAGAAGATGGCCGCCACGTTTTTGTGTGATAAGTATCTTCCCTGTGTACATTTTTATCAGTGTCCGGGGCCGTAACGACAGCGGCAGCTGCTGTCTGCTGACAACGTTAACATATTGTATCATGAACTAGAATCACATTAGGAACGAGATAAAAATTATAAACAGTAACGCATTTTTGTAAACTGTAAATTCTCTATAAACTTCTTGTTAAAGAAGACCGATGGATATAACATTTCAAATGCTACGTTATAAACACTGAAAACTATGTTTTTTTAAATAAATATTCATAATAGAAAACATAATTTCCATTTTTGAATTTATTTGCAACTTATTGAATTTTTTTGGATTTTTAAAAAACGGTTTTTTTACGTCTAAATTGTTGCAATGATTCTGAAAAAGTATGTTGGTAACATTATCAAATGCCGCCAATTTTCCCGCCAAACGTGACACAACGCGCTTTATCTTTTGTGTAATGGCTGTAAATTGTAATAAACCACTCAGGCTGCATTCAATAGTATTAAATTACGGCACATGCACAATTTAACTTAAACTTTCCTATAATCCAATTTATTTGTGGAAGTTCATCATCGTCGGCGTGACTAATTCTAGTATTCGTGGTTTTTAAAATTGTGACAGTGTATTTCTGTGTATATCAGATAATTTTTTTTTAATCAATTTTTACTTACATTTAATCGCCATGTTTGAAGCAAGACTTTTAAAGAGCGGACAGCTCAAGAAAATTTTAGAAGCCATTAAGGAACTGCTTAAAGAAGCTACTTTTGATTGTTCTGATTCGGGTATTCAGTTACAAGCCATGGATGATGCTCACGTCAGTTTGGTGTCTATGTGTTTAAAGAGCGCCGGGTTTGACAAATTTCGTTGTGATCGTAATCTCTCAATGGGTATCAATTTGGAAAGGTATGTTTGTTGTATATTATAGTTGTAACCGTTTATTTATAATTACGGTTTTCTTATCGATTGTTTTATAGTATGGTTAAAATTATGAAATGTTCATCAAATGATGACATAATGACCATTAAAGCTCAAGACAATGCCGACACCCTTTCAATCATGTTTGAAACAGCTAATCAAGAAAAAATGTCCGACTATGAAATGAAACTTATGAATTTGGATCAGGAACATCTTGGTATACCTGTACGTAAAACTCTTCTTTTATTTTAAGAATTGTGCTTATGAAACCATTGGACCACTAGCCAAACCAAAATAAGTCTGTGAAACCTTGTTTACTATATTCTTAATTTTTCAATGGGCGCGTTGTTGTAGAAAATACAGCAGCTTTGTATTTATGAATTTTTTTTACTTAGATTTATATCTTTGTTTATGTTTTATGTGTATATATTGTTTTTATTAATTTTATTTGATTACAGCCTATTATTAAATTAAGGTTAAAGGTTAATGCATTAATATTTGATACAAATTAATCGTATGAATGATTATCACTACCTTTAGTATTGTTAATAATTATACAACGTACGATTACTCTTATTACAGTAGATTGTTCGCCCACTAGAAGCATAACGGTGACAATTAACATTTGGCCCTACCTACTTCATAAAGAACTCGTAGTTAGACCATAGTTTCATCGATTTTCAAATAACTCTTTTAAAAGCTATATTGATACCTGAGTAACACACTTCCTAAAGTGATGACCTGACCGATTGAATGCAATGAATGGTTCGGGCTTATTTTAGGCAGTTTGAAAGTTTTCTTAAACAAAACTGTGTTTATATTGACCGCATTTGCTGGTATGATCTAATGATGTGCACTAAACTCTTTCGCTTGGTATTTTACGTGACATATTAGTGTTTTATAAGTCATCTGTATCACTTTTCTGTTTATATTCATGTTTATATCTATATGACTTGCACAATTTCAGAATTAATTTTAAAAAAATAGAATGCGTAAAATTTTAAGTGCATTTTTCTAAAATTATAATTAGTACTGAAGTATAATGTCATAAAAAGCTTACAAAATATAATTAAACTTAATTTTGATGTACAATTTAATGTTATATATTTTAGGAAACAAATTATTCTTGCATAATCAAAATGCCTTCTGCTGAATTTGCAAGAATATGTAGGGATTTAAGCCAGTTTGGGGAGTCAGTCATTATATGTTGCACCAAAGAAGGAGTTAAATTCTCAACATCTGGCGATATTGGATCAGGTATTTTATTATTAACAATTGTGTGTAATTTAAGTTAATTTATAAAAATTTAATAGTTGTTTTTATTGTTTATAGCCAACATAAAATTATCACAAACTGCATCTTTTGACAAAGAAGAAGATGCTGTGACTATTGAGTTGCAACAAGCTGTATCGTTAACGTTTGCTTGTCGTTACCTGAATTTGTTTTGTAAAGCAGCTCCGTTGTCACCACAGGTATTAATTTATTGTTAAAAATATTTATTTTTATTTATTATTATTAATTATACAGGTTATTTTGTCAATGTCTGGAGACGTGCCTTTAGTAGTTGAGTATCAAATTGAAGAACTAGGACATATTCGGTATTATTTGGCTCCTAAAATTGAAGAAGATGATTAATCTTGCAATGAGTAATACACTTACATGATAAATTAAATTTTAATATTTAAGCCACCATTTTTTTTTTATACTTATGTTTCCTTTTTAGAATAATTTTTTTAAATTTATATTCGTTATTTACAATATTATGATAAAAGTAAAAAAAACAAGTTACTAGAAGATACCTTATATATAGTAATTGTTATATGGAGTAACTGAGCATACAATAAAATTACATTTTTTAAGTATTACAAATTTATATCACTATATTTAATATGTTTGCTAGAAAGTAGAAAAACTTCAAAAATAATTTTAAATAGAATGAATAATTTGATCTTTTTACATCACTATGTACATAGATTTTCTTTTTTGAGGTTTTACATGTTACAATTTGTTTATAAATGTTGCAGGAAGACAATGATGTAATCTCATTGTTTATAATACTTTATAAATAGGATCTGCTTATTATTTTTGTACTAAAAGTAAAGCTATCATTAAATATTATTACAAAATACTATTAAAACCACAATAAAAATAAAAATATATCAATATATAAGTGGAAAGATAAAGGATTTACAATAAAATTAATAGTTCACATCTAAAATAATGATTCAGGTTTTAAAAAGCATATACTTATAATAAATGGAAGTAGGCAAGGGAAATAAATTAACTGGAACAAATATGTAAGCCTTAAATTATAATAACAGATTTTAAATAAATGTAAAACATTACACATACTTACTCTATAATCTTTGAATAAGTATAGCTGGCAATGTTATTAAGAAGACGCCACACACTTGTAAAACCAGCTTCTCTTTTTTTTTTACAATATATTAGTAGTAGATGACGATTATACATTTTTTATATTGAAAATTATTTTAAAATAGTGTTAAGTATTGTGGGGTTTCTATCCATATTTTGCTGATCTATTACTTTGAAAAAAATTGAACAAATGTACTATACATTTGTTTTTTTTTTTTTTTAATGTCTTCATGGTTTGTTTTTCTGGTATCGTCAAAGTATTAAGTAAGATACTATGACCTATTCACTGAAATAGTATTAATTTTGAGCTAACCAATAATATTGAAGTAAACTAAAGAAAAATAATTGTAAACAAATGCGTGGTAGTTGATGAAAAATAAAAACTACCAATAAAATAAAAGTATATTGTAGTTCAATTACGAATCTGTGAAAAATAAAAAGGTGTGTAGCAATCTCTTAATCGGTAGCTGTTCTAAAAACATAGTTATTGCTTAAACTAAAAATCAAACAATTAATGTATAGTGGAAAATGCTTAAGTTGTAGGTGGCACTTCGTCCTGAGCATTGCAATACTCTACCATAGCATTAGGACTTATTACTGTATCATGTAATGTTCTCATGTGTCTAAGTAAATTGCTCTTGACATTGAACCCTTTACTACATACTCCGCATTGATAGGGTCGTTCCCCTGTATGTGTCCGACTATGTATTAACATACTGGCATGAGACGGGAATGTTTTTGTACAAGTAGGGCATACTTTACGCCCATTCATTATTCGAGGCCGAGGACGTTTTACTGAAGGTATTACTCCTGACCCACCACTCGCTAAGCTGTTTGTGATCGCTAACTGTTCTTCAGTGTGTGCATTTTGTATATGTCTAACCCAATCTCCAGGTGTTAAGTATTCTTCTTGACAGAGCTCACAGCGTAATGGTGGTAATTCTCCATCATCCTCATCCTAATTTACAAGAAACACATTTTTAAGAAATTATAAGTGACCCTTTAATTTTTATACTTGAGTGTTAAACAAACCGTTGTTTTTCTACGTTTTCTTTTGGGAATATCAGTTATGGATCCTAATTCGTGAGTTTGAATATGTCTAACCCAAAGGGCCGGAGTTCTGAATGTTTCTTGACACATATCGCAAGTTAAAGGTGCATAATAGTCAGTTTCTGCTTCATCATCATCGTCATCGTAGTTGGAAAAAAGTTCCTGAAAAGAAAACACAAAACATTTAAACACTGAAATTGCACAAAACACTATGAATTTTTCTTACTGGTTGTATTGTCATTTCAGTTCGATCATTATCATTCCATTCTAATGGTTCTTCTTTGACAGTAATCTCCAACTGTAAAGCATTATGCATTGGATCTTCATTCTCCGAGTTTTCTTTTCTCATTTCGTTCTCATCGTTTTCTTTATCATTTTCATTTTCTTTATTTTCGTTATCGTCTGACCTAACTGATAAAGGCATATCCCCTTTAGTCTTTGACTTGGCTTTATCGTCCTTATTGTCAGGTGTTTGTTGTCTAGGTACAACACCCACAGTGTTTTCATTGTTGTGACACAATCCTCTTACTTTCAATACTTCTCCTGCTCTCAATACTCTGTCCAATTGGCTATTGGTGACTGTTGCCTCACCGCTGTACATATATTGAAGTAGTATGCATAGTGTACGGTAACTTATGTCTGCAGGCAAAACTATGACTAAATTGTTAGACAAACAACTCTGGAACACTTGATGTAAATAAGCACTGCAAGCCGATAACACAAAGCGATGTGCAGAAACATTATGTCCATCAGTTGTACTTAGTGTTACGTCTGTAAATGCAGAGGTGCCATGTAATGTTGCAATGGTAGAGTGTAAATGAGCACCATGACTGTGCCATTTTAATTGATAATTTTCAGCATTCACCATGTTGGACATTGTAAACTCTGTAATCAAAATGATTAAAAGTTTATATTATGTAAGTTTCGTGTATTTTATTACTACATGAAAATATTTTTTCCAAAAATATCACTAATTAAAAATTGGTCAAAAAAAATTGTAGTATCTTACAAATAAATTTAAAACTCGAGAATTAATAATTATTACATGGTAAATATATGTGTATGGTTTTAAGAAAATAATGTGTAGTATAGTTCATTTAAATGTACCCTTGCAAGAAATAATTTGAATAATTTGTAATTATATTGTTAATCAGATTACATTACAATAATACTTAGTATAACAATATAAAACTGTAATCGTATAAGTGTAGATACATTTCTTAAAATTTGTATAGCCAATATAAAATTTAAAAGGGTAGCTGAAAAATATTCATCAAATCAAAAAACGAAATCTATTTAAAGTTTTTTTTAACGTATTTAGGTATTTGGGAATTTTTTGACATTTAAAAATTGGTTTAAAAAGTAATCAAAATTACGTTATTGAATGAGACATGAATAACTTGAATCGATTAGGTAAAGCATTGTACAGGTTGTGATTATTTATTTTGGAATCATCATCAACGTTGGGTTTTATTATGTGAAGTGTGAACCGCGCAACCGGTTTTCAATGGACCGGCAAACTTGCATTATCAATTTTATAGTTACCTTGGTGTCCGGTGGCGTCCCGGCAATGGCTGCAGTTTTCGTCCTTAAGCGCACAAGGCAAAAACAACCCTCTCAAAAAGTACGCGTGAATATGTTGAATCACGCGACGGTGGCGAGAACGGCTTGAGTAGTAAAACGTAGCGAAAAAAATCGATAAACAATACTGATTATTGATTTTGGCACCGGCCGATGACGCGGCCGCCGCCGCACTCCAAGTGCACGCGCCTCATCGTTTTACAACACAGTTTCGCCGCCCGTATTTAAACGCCACCGTCGCCCCCTCAGTACCGCTGCACCGACCGTACGCAGGGATCGACCGGTGGTGAAGGATTGGCAAAGTTCGTCCGTTTTTAGAACCTCTTTGGACGTCCAAAAATAAAACTATCATCTCTAACCAGACTATATAACACATAACATAAAGCGAGTGATTAAAAACCTTTAAAATGAATTGTCGAACTTGCCACAGTAAAGAATAATATTAATTAAAGACGGTTTTTTTTCATTTTTCTTTATATACAAAGTATATTAGACCAATACTTATATAAAGTAATATCTATTTATGTCTTGGACAGATTTCAAGGATGCGATTATAATTTGTAATGAGAATAATTACTGTTTAACCTCTGGTTGGGAATCTGCGACAATTGACAAATTGTCAAATAATTACTGTACATTTACTTCAGCGTCTTTCTACACTATTAGGTAGATTCTTGTAACAAATTGTTCCCAAAGATCACTGTACCATTTAATAACATTTTAACAGCGATTGCGATTGCCTCGAAATACTGCCATTAAATCTAGATATATTGGTACTTACCATCTCCTGGGGTCCATATATATTATATCAGCTACTATTTAAAAAAAGTTCATATAATCGACTCCCAGAAAGTATTTCGCATGAGTATACAACTTTTCGGTGTACCAGTAGAAATAATTATGCAGTCGCTATAGTCAAATAACCGCATCCTAGTCTCGCACAAAAACTTTATCCCAACTATTTGGGATGAGGCGTGAAGACTGTTTACAGTTCACATCGAAACGTTTATTTGAAAGTTATTTTACCACCTATTCATTGTGTGACCCCCACGACATACCCTGGTCGAGATAACATGGTGTTTTAAAGAATGTAGTACACATAAATAGCGGTTAGCAAGAGGTAACAAGTTACGAATACAAGGGAGCCAGTTAGTATAGTCACGGTAGCAGATTGCTGGCAATCGCTCCGAAGATGACCACTGCAATACGTTCGAAATGTCAGCATAAATTATAAAACTAAACACATGGATACATCCGAAAATTATCCTCATAAAATCAGGGCCTGCTTAATTAAAATGGGGGCCAAGTGCACGTTCCAGTTTGAGGCTTTTTTCAAAGATAAAAGTAAAATTCTAGTAGAAATAGTTTTTGGTTAAGAGTAAATCTAAATGGTTTTTTTAAAAATTAATTTGTGTTGAACTAAAGAACATCCGGATTTTTATTAGAAAATAATTTTGAGCTGACGTAACAGCTATTTTCTTTTGAACCTAGACTTACTTTTTTGTAAGTAAGCACATTTTTTTATAATGACTAGTTTTATTTCATAATTCTCCCTACCCTCTTAATGAGCGTTAAAAACCACCCCTGCGGCTCGACTTAGCTATAATTAAAGAATATAAGCATTAAAGATCAATCATATATTTTCATTCTAATTGTATTAATCGGCGCATTATGCATAGTTACATTTTAATCATAAAGCATATCAACATCTGATAGTAATAATATTCTTATTCCTTAAGAATAAAGAAATTTAACGGAGGAGTTAAGTATATTATAATACAAAGTATTATTTAGTATTTTTATAACAAATAATAGCTTAAGCTAAAATTAGTTTCAAATAAAATCTTAAAATAAACTGAAAAAGCAAAAATAGATTATGATGTTCTAGCTAACAATATTACTTTTAAGGGTAGTTTTAGAAATTACTTTTACTTTTAAATGTCAATAAGCAACTCTCAAGTTTAATATGTTTAAAAAAAACAATTGGTTTTACGTAACTTATAACTGGTCGATAACGTGTTTCAGAATAAATAATTTCGTATCGGAATTTAATGTCACGCTATACGTGACGTCATACTCACAACAATATACAAACAAATTATTTCTTATAAATTACAAGTATAACGTCAGATATCTGTGTAAAATTAAAATAAATTATTCCGCGGTAATTCTTGCAATGTTTCCAAAAAAACGGTATGTCACTCGAAAACTTGTATAGGGTGTTCCAGAAAGCAGCCACATTTTGAAAATTCTATAACTTTTTTAATATTCGTCCAAAAAAAAAAATAACACATACCATTGTGTTCAGGTCTTGAGGTTATGTGTGGAACATACCATCGAGCATATGACGCCCTTGCTCGCCCTACAGGCCATCAATTCAACGTTCATGAAATTTCGGATGGCGCGTTCGCAGATTTCGACGTTTAGGTCAACCATCACTTGCCTGATTTTCGTGGTCACCACGGTGTTGTGACCTGACCCCCTGTGACTTTTTCTTGACTTTACGTACTCCCATAAGAAAAAGTCGCAGGGGGTAAAGACCGTGGTGGCCACGGAAATCAGGCGAGTGATGGGGTGATTTAGACGTCGAAATCTGCGAACGCGTCATCCGAAATTTCATGGACGTTGAATTGATGGGCACAGGCGGTCATATGCCCGATGTTATATTCCACACATAAACCTCAAGACCTCCTGAACACAATGGTAAGTGTAATTTTTTTTTTTGGACGAATATTAAAAAAGTTATAGAATTTTCAAAATGTGGCTGCTTTTTGGAACACCTATACATTATCACACACAAATAATTTGCTAAAGAAATACGGCAAGAAGCGATAAGGGGTGAAAACTACTAATTACTATACTAACTATAGCACCACTTATTTTGTCGAGCATGTAATATAGTTTTGCTTGCTACGAACATATAGAAGAGAGGTAAGAGTTTTAAAAAGCCTCGATAGATAATATGCATTTTAATAATTTATATCGTCATAAAAATAACGATATAACAGTTTTCTTTTATTTTGTAGTATATTTTCGTTTAATAATGTTCTGGTTGTATGTGGTCGATCACTCCAGGATGGCAGCATCACTGGATAGTGGACACGGATGACAATTGACCAAATATAAAACAGCTCAAAAATATATCCATGTTAATAAAGCCAAACGGCCGCGGGAGACTGATAACTGATAAGTAACGTGGATCTATAAAGAAATGGACCTTGTTGATAGGTCTATGGTAAGTAACCCAACGATTTTGAGCCGCGTGTTTGCGGTGCGAACACTGATAATATCTAATATATTATTATCTACTGTTATCGCCGATTGTTTTATCAGTGCGTGCGAAAAAGACGGTAATTACGGTCGATGCTGCACTGTTGTACACAAGTTGGACACCCCTACGCAACACACACAGGCCGCAGCACACTCACGCGCCAATTGCATGGTAGGCGGTGCGGTACACCGTACACATAGTATTGGTAATAGGTATGGTATTATTGTTATTATTTTTTTTAACCAACATTTTCGTATTCTCAAATCTTAACGCGTTTTCGCAAAAGCGTGGCCGTTAAATTACGCCCGTGGTTCATCGCCGTTTTTGTTTTTTTTTTCTTTAACAATTTCTCAACCCGTTGACTTTGTCGTTTGGCGGGACCAAAATTATTCAGTTAAACACCACGAGACCGCCGGAAAAACGCGCGGAAACCGTCGGATCGTGAGCCGCAGTACACGTCCTCATCACACATCCGGCAACCGTTGCACAGCCACCGGATAACATGGCCTGTGGAGACATGAACGATTTTCATCAGATACTCACCAGTTTACTGAGCACGGATAACAATGTTCGGCAGAGAGCCGAGGTAATTCGCATTTGGTCGATAAATTTGGCCAAGGTCAAAATCATTAGGAATTGCATGCCTGTCATGATAGGTAGTAGACATTCCTACCACCTACTTTTGATCACAAGATATTTTTCTCCCTTGTCGCTTACCGTCGACAATTTCCTCTACACTCCGCGGCTCGTACTTTGCAAAAAGTATAAACCCCCGTTAAGCGAAATTGTAGTTTAGCAATAACCGACTACCTGTTGCATGCTTGTCTGTTTACCACAGCAATCGATGACACCGGAACCGTTCTTTTTAATAAAACCCTAGTTAATCATGGTTGATGATCGAAATAGTTCTGCAACGTAGTCTGAATTTAGTAAAACAGTTTTAAATATTATACGTAAACTGTGAATTTCGTACATAATTAAAACAAAATGTCATATCTGATCCTGATAGTAGAATTAAAAAAATTGTATAATCATATTGCTTTATTTCTCTAGGAAACTTACCAATCGTTACCTTTAGAGTCTAAAGTCTCGTATTTGTTTAATGCCGTACAAAACCAATCTGGCGATGTGGATGAAAAACAAGTGGCCGCCGTTATGTTACGCCGGCTTATGGCCAACGACTTTGTTGAGTTTTTTTCTAATGTAAGTGTCTTTTATATGTATTTACCATATTGTAACCTTGACCATTTACTTAAAATATTTTTTCTATCTTAGCTATCACCTGAATCTCAGAAGCAATTCAAAGACAATTTATTGTTAAGTGTTAGTAATGAGGAAAACGACGTTCTGAGACGTCGTATGTGTGATGTGGCCTCAGAAGTGGCAAGAAATCAACTGGATGATGACGGCAATAACACTTGGCCAGATTTTTTGAATTTCTTATTTCAATGTGCAAATTCTGCTTCGCCAGACATGAAAGATTCTGCACTTAGAATGTTCACGTATGGATTTATTTGTATAATTTCTTTAATACCAAATGACTGATTATTTTTTCAATTTGTATGTAGGAGTGTACCTGGAATTTTCGGCAACCAACAATCTAATTACTTAGTAGTAATTAAACAGATGCTTCATCAATCATTGAACGTACCAAATCAAAATGTAATTATTTTTATTAATTAGTTATACATATAATTCTTAATGTGTTATCCCAATTAACTTAACTGTTTTTTCTTCTTTTTAAATTGATATATAAGGTTCAAGTACAAGCAGTCAAAGCCGTTTGTGCTTTTATACTACATCACGAAAAAGTAATAGAAGTTCAAAAACATTTTTGTGACTTACTTCCTAATATGTTAAGGGTAAATATGGAATTCTGCGTAAACAACAAATATAATATTTAAACTATCTTTGGTAGATTATAACTGAAAGTTTAGTAGCAGAAGAAGATGATTCTATGATCAAGTTGTTGATTGATTTGGCTGAAAATACACCCAAGTTTTTACGTCCACAATTAGCTAATATTATAGACATGTGCCTAAAGGTATAACATTAATTATTATATATTTGTTCTAAACTGCTATTTACATTGTTATATTATATTTTTAGTATCTTAAGAATGATGAAGCTAATGAGTCTTATAGACAGATGTGCCTTGAAGTAGTTGTGACATTAGCGGAAACAGCCCCTGCAATGATGCGTAAAGAGTCTTCCAAGTATATTAGTCAGTTAGTAGTACAAGTATTGGAGTTAATGGCCACAGTGGAAGACGAAGATGATTGGGGAACACAAGATGATCCAGATGAAAGTGATCAAGAGAGGTAATTTATAATAATAATTTCATATTGTATTTTAGATTTTTTCTTTTTTATGTTATTATAATACTTAAACCTTGTCCTTTTTCTGTACCACAAGGATACCATATGTTACATCTTTTATTCATGATGTTCATCAATCATGAACAACTTTTTTTTTCCAGTAAAGTAATTATAACAATCAAAATGCCTCTAAATTGTAGAAATTATGCCCTAACGCTAACAAATGAATCTCAAAATTCCTAGTTTTGTGCCTTTATAAATAGCCACGATATGGGCCTAAAATAAATGTTTATTAATAATATTTTCTCAGGGAAAGCAATCTTTTTTTATTAATGAACAGTAAGTTGAGTAATTGTTAATAAATCACAAACATCTTATTGACGATATAGGATATCTTTCTTGGTTTTTTGTCCTTCAAACGTCAAATCTAAAGAGCTCCCTGTTGTCATATTAGTTTCTCAATTTCTTCAACACAAAATTAAAATAATCAATTAATATTTGTTTTCAGTATGAGTGTAATGGCAGAATCTGCGTTAGATAGATTGGCATGTGGCCTCGGCGGTAAAACAATATTACCACATATATTAGTTAATGTATCATCAATGTTGGCTAACCCTAATTGGAAATACAGGTAAATAAATAAACATGATGTAAGTGTAAAACGAATTATTAACTTTGTTTTATAATACAGACATGCTGCTTTAATGGCGATTTCGGCAGCAGGAGAAGGTTGTCACAAACAAATGCAGCCCATGCTCCAAGAAATATTAGTTGGCATACTAAACTTCCTTCAAGACCCAGTAAGTATGGATTACTCAATTGTTCTTAAATTTTTTGTATTCAACAGTGACATTTTTGTTTTGTTTTCATAGCACCCCAGAGTACGGTACGCAATGTGTAATGCTATTGGCCAAATGGCCGCAGACTTTGCTCCTATGTTCCAAAAAAAATTCCACGATAAAATAGTTCCTGCTATTTTACTTTTACTTGACGATAATTTGAATCCTAGAGTCCAAGCTCATGCTGGTGATTATATTTAATTAATTATTAAAATAAATATTTTTAAACATTGATTTATTAATTTATTTTACAGGTGCTGCACTTGTAAACTTTTGCGAAGATTGCCCAAAACGTATACTCCTGTTGTACATGGATCAGATGATGGTAAAACTGGAAAGTATATTGCAAGCACGCATTTCTGATCTCATGGAAGGCGGAGGTCGACGTCTAGTTTTAGAACAAATGGTGACCACCATTGCTTCGGTGGCCGACACATGCGAAGGCAATTTTGTGAAATTTTACGATCACTTAATGCCTTGTTTGAAACAAATTATAAAAAATGCTTTAGCGCCCGAACTTAAATTATTGCGGGGCAAAACAATCGAATGTGTGAGCTTGATTGGCTTGGCTGTTGGCCAGGAAAAGGTAAAATTGTAAATATTAATTTGTATTACGATTTTATTGTAATTTTTGGTTTTTATTATGTTTAAACAATTAGTTCTTAGTGGATGCCGGAGAAGTTATGGACCTGATGTTAGCATCGCACAACAAAGATGAAAAACTAGCGGAAGACGACCCTCAAACTTCATATTTAATATCTTCATGGGCTAGAATGTGTAAAGTTATGGGTATGTTTTAAAAACTCATAACTTACTAATTTTATATGTAAAACAACATCTAACGTTAGCACGTTTTTTTTTGGTATGTCTCGTATGAATTTGGGACCGATAAAACTAGCAATTTGTTTGTAACTAACGCGCGTTTCAAAAACCTTTTTCTGTGCACGTACTGTATATTTATTATTTACATTTTTTTTCTTTGACATTTATTCATAGTTAACATAAGTATTCGTATATTTAACATATTGCACACCTAGATCAGAACAAGCAATTTAAAAAAACACATTTTTTCAGAAATTCCAAAAAACTTATTTTCAAGTTTAATTACTTTAACTTGTTAATTAAACTTTCACTGTTTATTTTAATAAAACAGTTTTGTACAACCAACGTACGTGCACCTTGTTTGATGTCCGGGCATAAACTTAAGTTTTTAACGGTTTTGGTAGTTAGGATTATGGGATTAGTCATTTTTATAAAAGGTAACTCAGCGCCATATTTTGGAGAGTAATCAAGATTAATTTAAATTTATTGGTTCATGCAACTTTGTAGAATCCGAATATACAAACAACTAAAAATATCCACTTTTTAAGTTGTTATAGTTTTGATCTAGGTGTTCGATATGCAATTTGGTAACAAGTAACACTAGTTAATAGTTGTTTAGTATTATATAAAAATAACATTTAACAACCTTTCCCCCCCCCCTAGTACACAAATTATAACGTTATTTAAAAAATTATTGTTTTAACAGGTCCAAAGTTTGAACAATATTTACCTTTAGTCATTGGACCAGTAATGGCAGCTGCTTCTTTAAAACCAGAAGTCGCTTTATTAGACAACGACGACATGGGCAACATGACTGACAATAATGACTGGCAGTTTGTACCGTTAGGAGAACAACAAAACTTTGGCATAAGAACATCGGGGTTGGAAGATAAAGCTTCGGCATGCGAGATGCTTGTTTGCTATGCTCGTGAATTAAAAACTGGATTTGCCCCTTACACCGAAGACGTTGTCAAGCTAATGGTGCCCCTTTTGAAATTTTATTTCCATGACAATGTTAGAATAGCCGCAGCTCAAAGCATGCCTTGTCTGTTGGAATGTGCAGAAACCAGAGGTAGGCTAAATACGTTTTAGCTATAGGTATATTTGTTTATATGTATAAATAGGGTTTTTATTTTTATAGGATCAGAATATTTGCAGCACATGTGGACTTACATTTGCCCCGAACTACTACAAGCAATAGAATCAGAACCTGAATCAGATGTTGCCGCTGAAATGTATGAAGCGTTAGGAAAGGTAAACTTCATGATGGTAAAAATTTAATAATTGTATTTAACATTTTATTTTTGTATTTATTTCAGTGTATAGAACAGTTGGGAGCTGGCTGTTTATCTGATAAATGGATGAAAGATTTATTGGTAATATTAGAGAAAAACTTAAACACCCATTTTGAAAATGAAATCCAACGTTTTGAAAGACGTAAGGATGAAGATTACGACGAGGTACAATGTTCGTATTATGCATTAACTGTATTTATTTCAACATAATCTTCTGTATGCAGGTTGTTGAGGAAAAATTGGCCATGGAAGATACTGATGACGTTTATAAATTAAGCAAAATGACTGATATACTACACGCACTCTTTGTTACTTACAAAACCGATTTTTTCCAATATTTTGACCTTATTGTTCATCAGTTTGCTAAATTATTGGTAGGTAACTTACCATTGTTGCATTGTAGTAGGATTATTTACTATTTTTTTTTCGTTATTTAGGAATCTGACAAAAGTTCGTCAGACCACCAATGGGGGTTGTGCGTGTTTGACGATCTTATTGAATTCTGTGGTCCGGGATGCGCCAAGTACCAAGAATATTTCCTTCGGCCCATGGTTGGGTATGTTACCGACTACAACAGCGAGGTCCGTCAAGCAGCAATTTATGGCTGCGGCGTACTGGGCATGTATGGAGGACCTAGTTTTGCTAATGTCTGTGCAGACATCATGCCGTTCCTACTGCAAGTGATTAACAGTCCTGATGCACGTACTAGCGATAACATTAGCGCGACAGAAAACGCGGTCTCGGCCATTGCTAAAATATTAGAGTTTAACAGTTCAGCAGTAAACGTCGATGAAATATTGCCACATTGGTAAATACCAAACGAAAATGTTTGTTCAAGTTATTAGTTAAACTAAAATTATTTTCAATCTATTTCAGGCTTTGTAATCTACCTGTGTGTGAAGACACCGATGAAGCACCGTTTGTGTACGGTTACCTATGTAAACTAATTGAAAATCATCATCCGATGGTATTAGGATCTAACAATTCCAATATACCGAGTTTAATTGGTATAATTGCAGAGGCGTTTTTAAGAGATGCTATAGACAGATCACACGCAGTAGCTCAGAGAATGATAATGATTGTTAGGCAAATACAGGTAATTTTAGAATTAGTAGTTACATGTTTTTTGGTAATAACCAAACACTATTTTTTTCTATAGACAAACGAAGAAGTATTTAATGCATGTCTGGCTGTATTGACTCCAGAACAAATCAAAACTCTACAGAGCCTACTGATAACTACTAACTAAACATAACATTATTTACCTCATAGTTTCATTGTGACAGATATATTTTTTTATATCCTAACCCTGTGCTTATATTACAATTATATTTATCATTATTTTTGTTACGTTTTTGTTATGGAATAACAAATATAAAAAACTAGTTACTACGGCTAGGATAAAAACATCTCGAAATTGAAAAAAAAAATTTGACCTATAAGACTATAAAAATATAAGCTATTAAATCCTGCATGAATTTCCAATATGGTAGTCTACCCCCTTGGAGCTTTTGTATAGTACATTGTTTTTTCAATTTTATCATTAATTTTATATCATATTGGACTTGACTAATTTATACTATCAATTTTGTTTAATTATCATATTGTTGAATGTTATTAACTGTATCGAACTTACATTTTAAATTTAAACATATATTTTTTTTCAAATTAAAAAAATTAAATGTTACATTTTTATGTTCTTATTTGGCAACATGTTTTTATTCACGAGAATAAATTCTGTATGTGTCCACAAAGCAATATATTTCACTTTTCTATTGTTATTGTTCACCTTGGCAGTAAAAACCAAAAACCGTAGATGTCTAGAACATTTGTGATTAAAAATAAGGGTACATTTAGATAATTTTATTTGTTTACAGTATAACTTGGTTAATACAAAAATAATGAAAAATGTTAGAAAATAAAATTGTGAATTGAAATTTATCCGTGTTGTGAATGAACTGATACTTAAGTAGATGCTGCGAATAAGGTGAAGAAATGTATGTAGGACAACAGAGTTTATTGTTAAATTAATGTGTAACCTATTGTAGTACAATACACATTTGTGATATAGGGGTCTATTTTGCTCGATATGGTACGTACACCAAATAATACCATACTACAATGGTACTTTTGATATTTTTTTTAATTTTAATAAGTTGTACTTAACATGTAGTCCATAGAACTTTCTTGTAGTTAATTTACAGTTTTTTTTATCGGTGTAAATTTCTTTCTTCTTGAGCATCTATATTATTTTGACATTTTATGTTTTTGCTTTGGCACACGACCGGAAAAATCGACAGTTGTTATCATGACGAAAATTTCAGATGATTCATCTGATAAGATAAGAGATAAGAGATATGTTTTTACTTTGGCAGACAACCGGAAAAATCGATAGTTAAAAAACCTAACGAAAATTTATTCTTTTATACATCCTTATATATTCGTATGTCCTCCCGTGGTTGCGGACTCGTACGCAAGCCGTTGTAAAGGGATGGAGTTGAAGTTTTTTTTTATATTCGTTATTAAGCATTAACATTGATTTAAAATATTATAGATAGCCCACCGAGACGAATTTCAGTTCTGCACGTCGACACGGGACAGCCGCTAGTAGTATCGTTATTAATGAAATTGATGCTACTAGAGCCAATCCCGTGTCGACGTTCAGAACTTAAACTTGTCTCGGTGGGCTATCTATAATGTTTATAATCAAAGGTATTAAGGGGGTGTCGCACCGTCCATTTTAAAGGAGTAAAGTGTAGGACATTTTTTACAAAATCTTAATTTAAACGTTAAACTGTGATGTGTAATTATTAGTTCAATAACTAGGACTCTATTCCTGTAGTTAATTTATTTTTGAACTATCACAGCATCCTTACAAGCGATTTAAAAATGTTTTTTTATCTCTACATGTTTAAGCAGACTGAAATTAACTCGCTTAATTTTGGTTTCAGAAAAAAAGCACCCATTATAAAATTAAAAGAGAACAATATTCTGCAGGGCAAGACGGTGCGTTTTTTTCATTATTCCAAGTATAACGCTCAATACATAGTTTAAAAATAACGACTATTTTAACATTTTTAAATGACTGTAACTTTTCATAAAATATTGGTTAGGTTTCGTAAGAGTACTATTGTATTATATTTACATTCATGAAGTAAATTTTTTTTTTTTTTTAGATTTAGTGTAATATATTATATATTATAGGTATATATATATGAGTTTCTCGATCCCGATTTAAAAAAATAAACAGCATCCGCTGAAGTATACTTTATAGTTACTCGAGGTTTTTTTTCTTACATTGTCCTTAGGTACTCTTTTAATATTATTTTTACAATATGGCTAAATTTGTATCTGCAACAATTGAATTTATGTGTATTTTATTCAAACTGGAGTATGATTTTACGGCAAATGTTCGTGTTTTGTTGTTTTAAGTTTAGTCGTAAAAAAATTGTTTTACTGTCTTGAGTAGTTACGAATTCAGTACGTGGCGGCCTTCTTCCTAAGACTACACGACTACAATGTTATATCTATACATTATTATTTTTAGTTGTGTATAGATATAACACAAATATGTAACACAATCACACTAAATAGGTCTTTACAAAATGATGGTTGTCGGTCACTAGGGTTATAGTGACCCGTGGTTAGAAAAATTTGAATTTGTTTAACAATTAACATTTCATAAAAACTACCTTTAAACTAATGTATTGTAAAATGGACCGTCACTTTAAATAATCTATTTTTTAAAAATCCATTTGACGATTGCCATATAGTTAATGTGTGTTTCTACTATGTGTTCTAAAAACACATTAACGAAAACAAAGAGTTAACTCCCCCCTCCCCTCTAAAAAAACAATTCTGGCTACGCGGTATTGATAAAGTGAAATTAGTGATTTTTACACAATATATTCTCATTATAAATGCAGTTTAAACGACGCAGTACATTTGTGTTATTACGATGAATTATTTATGAACAATTATCTTGCAATATACAAACCAGAATTGTTCAACTTTATATTGTATTCAAAATATGTCCATTAAATGAGAGTCATAAATAACATCTTCTAAAAGGCATTTTATATTTCGTTGTCGGAAGGATGACTTTTGCGTTTCTCTAGTCTAAAGATTACAACATTTTAGACAATTAGAGAAACCAAAAAACTAAAACTAAAAAATCTTAACTTAATGTATTTCACTTGTATGCCAACGATTTGCCCTATTCGTTTACAACACTCCATTTAACCAATTCTAAAAATGTAAAAAGTTCTCAAAAATATTAAAAAATAGTAATAAAGCCGTGGGGTTTTGGGGTTAAACTGTATAGTTATTACAATTTACAACGGTACAACCTTTTCACGTTTTTAAAGCTTCGGTGCAATAGGAGTGAGCATTCCTCTTTTAGAACTTATAAAATACTAAAACGCGTAGAAACTATAATATATAAAATGTTGATCGATATGGAACAGACGGAAAAATAAATAGTGTTTTATCGAAAGGAAACTATCAGCTGCAGTTTTAAGCCGTGGTGTTGCGGTATCTATCCGGTACATTGTTTTCTTAATCCCAATATTTGGCCCTCCATTCGATCTTATCGGTGTGCTCCAAGATTGGAATAATTGTCTGAGGCAGTCCATATAATATGTATTTACACGTTTACATAGGTAGCTACGCAACATCCGTGAAAAGAGTATCGTTTTGAAGTTTAATAATATAAACGCAATAACCGCACGCGCCGGACAGTGCCGTTATATGCATATATAATACCTACATGTATTAATTATTATAATCTACATAGTACTTACATATCATATATATTTTGTTAGACTCACGTCGTAGCACAACTTTTCAAAATGTCACGTGCTAAAAAAACGTGCTCGCGCCGAGTTAAGCGTCGCATGGAAACTCTTATAATATAAAGTCTCTGCCGGCGGTTTCTTATTGCTTGTAAAATGCTAACACGTCGTTCTCCCTTTTGGTATTCTGTAATTTTGGGTATTTCCCGACAATTCGGTAGTAGTTTTTATGTATTCTGAGTAGTGTTTGTGTATTTAGGACGCTCGCCCATCCGGGGAGGGGCAAGACATGTAATTTTTTGTGGAAAATGAAAATCTTCATAAGAAAATGCACAAATTAAACCATCCTTGAACGATTTCGACGAGAGTTGGAATAATTATTGTAATTTGATTTGATGAATGTTTTAAAGCTAAATAAAATAATAATTTTTTTTTCTTTATCAATAATGTCACACTGCAATTATGGTAATTGATAAATATCCAATAACGTTGAGATTTAACAGTTTAATAATCTGTGGCAGTTTAAACGACAGTTGACTACTATAACTTAATACTTAACGAGTTATCGTAGAAATTTTAAATTTACAATTTAAAATGTAATATGTTTCATGTAAGTGCAGGATTAAACTATTGTCGGTAAAGTGAACCGATTTAAATTCACGCCGAAGCGTTCCTATACGCATGTACACGGAGGTAAATATAACAATGATTAATGTGGTCAATGTTATTATAATATGAGTGTTAGGTAATATAATTGTTTTTATTATCGTTAAACATTATTACTTTTGCTAAAACAGTTATAACTTATAAAAGTTATTATTTTGGTCAAATATACACCAGTGTCAAAATGAATTTGTATAATCTGTACCATATACAAATGCACTGCCTAACAACACTTATCTATTGTACAGTGAACACTATACATGTTTTCAATCCTCTAATTCTTCCTATAGTAGAACGTACTACTTAAAAATACAAATTGTGTTAGTTTAAAATTTAAATATATTATGTATGTCACATACACAACTTTTGGTTCTGGATGTGTTAAATTTGACAGCAAGCCAAGTACACTGGTGGTGTTTATCACATACGGATAGAGGCCTCGGCCGTTTTTTATTTTGCAATACCAGTATATTGCTATTCATATACTCAAGAAATTTTAATTGTGTATAGATATAATTTATTATGACTATTGTCCCTAGAAATTACCAGTTGAGGGGGCCTTGCCAAGTCTGCCGTCGCAGTCTTGTACGTTACACAAATGTAAAAAAAAAACACAAATATTTGAAAATTAAAACACAATTTGTTTAATTTATATGGGTAAATGACGGTTACCCATGTATTGTATGTTGTGATAGATATCATAGTCGGACAACGGACGTTCGTTTTTGGACAACGCGAATTGACTTGGAGTGAATAGTGAAACGTTGTTGGTAAATTTTGCTAGCGAAAACGTTCAATACAACAATACAGTTTAAATGAGAAATAATTACCAGAGAGGAGCATATTATTTACAACAACATGTAAATCATCACTATATCGGTCTCCGGACATAGG